AAAAAAAGGAAGTGATAGAAATAGCAGAGAATATACAGGCGAGCTGGTGTACTTTCAACATCTTAAAAACCTGAGACCATGGGCAAAAAAAAAAAAAAAAAGAGGCACGACACACACAACAGTTTAAAACTCGGCTGAAACTTTTTTTTTTATTTTTTTTTTTCCTATTTAACCAGGTTTTGGAAAATGAAATTTCAGCTGTGTTTGAGACTTTCGAGTGTGTGTGTCGTTTACCTGCAGTCTCGGGGTTTTTTAATCATGTTTTATTTTCCCTTCCCCATTTATAAGTAAAACCACCACCGAGCTCCAGACGTTCACTGCCAGGTGCCCGCCCAATAAACGGCCCTTTAGATAACCCCTCACTCCACAATTCATCTCCCACAACCCTGAGCAGCGCTTAGAATCTAACACCGACGCTCTGGCTCAGCTTAGCGTGAACTCTTTTGCTCTCTTCATTGGCATTTGGCTCGACTAAAGTCACTAGTGACTTTAAACTCGACGAGCTAACCCCAAGAACATCTGGAAAGACCGCTACTTTTCTGTGTCTTTTGCAGCGACAATTAAAAGAAACATTCTGCTTATGCCCTAGACAACACAAAGAGTTCGTTGCTACTTTAGCCTCATACACATAAAACTGAAAAAAAAGACATAACTAGACAAGACTTGAGAAATCTCTTGACCTCTCTCGTAAACATGGAGACAAAGAAACATGTTTTAAAACCAAACGTACATAAACCTCACAGCAGTACTTAAAAAAAGAGAGACAAAACACACAGCACAAAGGACACTCACATGGCCAAACACCTCTTGGTTCTATCGTTTAGAACTGTTGATGCATTGCTAATGCACCGTACTCTACTGTTTATTTTAGTAGTTTCGACTATGACTCTCTTAAAATTATCCCTCTCTTTTGCTAGTACGATCGTCTCGTTCCATGTCGAGGAAGAGTCTTCACAGTCATTCGAATGTTTCACTAAAGATACTCCGCACAGAAGGGGAATGTTAAGAACTCTACAACTTCCTCCTTGTATTTTTTTTTTTTTTTTTTGTTACAATCCACGGTGGTGTTTGTAACTCAAGACCGTTGTGTATGTCGTCCCTCTTTTTGTCTCTAGTCTCGGGTGTTTCCAAGATGTATAAAAAGAGTGCCGCGGGCCGTGTCGTAACCGCTGCAAAACCCAGCAAGACCGTGGGTGCCAGTAGGACTGAGATTTCGAATGCCCGACAGGAAATGTCGAGAAACGCGTATGTTTTCCCCCCGCAGAGATGATACGCACTTGGTCACCGACCCAGTGAGAACGGCGGAGCGTCTCTTTCGGGTTCCCGGCCCCCTGGACGCGCTGGTTACCTTCCGTCGTGCTTTGATAGCGCTTGCGCGCTCGAAGCTCACGGGACAACTGAAAGACCTTCTTGCCGTTCTCATCCTGCCAGTGACTCTAGCTCTCTTCTCCAAATGTATCATTTTATTCTCATAACAAGCGTCTATTGCGCCGCTATTTGCGTTTTTTTTTTCTTGTGCGATAGCATTTTTTTGGAAAGGGCGGGGCAGCTTTTTTTTTTTTTTAATTCTTAGCTACAACACAAGACGCGTGCGTCGAAGAGTCATAAGTGGATACATTGAGAAGAAAGAAAAAAAAACGAAATTTCGAACGTTCCAAAAAAGAGAATCGAACCCAGGTTAGGATCCCAATGTTCTGAGCCCTTTGTTCAACCGCTGTGCCAAGGGGGAGCCTCGTGAAGCGATACGTCGTGCGAGTTCGTCTGCTCTATGTGGGCACCTCGTGCGTCTGTTTTACCCTCCAGGGGCCCTAATCTGGACGACACTTGGCAAACGAGTCGGCGCCCCTCGTGGCGTTCCGGCGCGCCAGAGAAGCCTTTTGAAGACACTTGCTCGCCGTACAGTCGTTTCTTACGCACCCTTTCCCTCCTCGTATCGCGCATGCGCGGGTCGCGGGGACGAGGCGTTCACTGGACGTGTACCGCAGTCTTCACAATGCCTCGCAAGTCGAAGGAGCGGACATAACAGGAGATAGCCGAACAGAATGGGAAATGAAAATGTACGGACATTTTATGATATACAGTTACCCGCTGTAGGATTCGTCGCAATTTAATCGGCTAAATGTACAGGGTGTCTCAAATAGCGGCCAGGCTCTTTAAAACGACCGCTAAAATCGGTTTCTGAACCTATCGCACTACGATTTTCTACAGCGTTGCCCACAGGTGGGGCTTATTTCCTATAAAAATTTCGAAGAGCGAGCTTACCTGAGGAAGAAGTAAAAAAAGAAAGTCTCAACTCCTATGGAAACGCAGCAAACAATAGGGCGCCCTATTCTTTGAAGACCGGTGGCTTCGCTGCGTTTCCATAGGAGTTAAGCCTTTTTTTTATTTTTTTTACTTTTTCCTCAGGTAAGTTCGCTCTTTAAAATGTTGATAGAAAAAAATGCACCACCTGTCGGCAACACTGCACAAAATAGTAACGCGATAGGTTAAGAAACCGATTTTTGCGGTCGATTTAAAGTGCCTGAGCGCTATTTGAGACACCCTGTATATTACGTTCATAGCACCGACGAGCGATTCGCCGCAGTGCGCAACGAAGAACTGTCGAAACAGCCGCGGTTTTTATCGTGTTTTCTTTTCTAGTTGACGTGGGACATACACGTAATGTTCTTGCTTTTCGAAGACAACCTTCGCTATTGTTGAATGCCCCATAGAAATGCAGGTGGGGCGCGCGTTACGTATTTCGTTGGTTTTGATCGTTGCGCTTGGGTTACGTATACACGCCGGGCCCGGCCGAAGGGGAGGACGTGGCCTTTAAAATGTGATCTTTGCGACAGGCCTCTCTGTTCCGTTCTCGGTCATGCCTTTCGCCCGTCACAAAAAGCGTTTTTCCGCCGATGTTAGGCAATCGTGCAGATGTCCGCGACCTGTAACTACGTGACTTCGCTCCCGGCGCGTCGCTGCGCCCTTTTCCGAAGGTCACGTGATCCTCACTGGGGAGCGGATTGACTTCGACGGCTCGCCTGCGGTTCGTCGGAAGGCAGACCCGAGATGCTTATTAAATCTCTCTGTCTCTTTCTCTTGCGGGGTTGTATTTACGTAAACCAATCTCATCACCGCTCGCGGCATTACGTCACGTCGCCGCTTTCGCCTTTTTTTTCTTCTCTCTTTTTCCTTGTACGTAGGTAGCGATCGTCTGTCTTCGAATACAAGGCATCTGGCCGGTGTGTGTATGTGTATTAATGTGGGCCAGGATCTTTTTGTGTGACTATGTGCTTGGGAAGGAGGGTCAGTCAGTTTGTGTTGTTACCGCGTTGTTGGTAGGCACAAGAACCGTTTGCCTTTCTTTATCGGGGGATTTTCGTAGATCGTTTTCACCGTCCCTCAGCACTCTCCGGAAACCCGCTAAAAGACCCGGAGCTTTCTAGGTAAGGCTATGGCACGCACGCGCTGTACCGGCGGCGTCTTCGTCGTGAATAGCGTAAGCGTAGGAATGGGAGGCTGAACCTTGGTTCAGCCTCCCCCCCAAAAAAAAGAAAAAAAAAAGCCGGGCTTTTTGTCGAGCATTACTAATTTATTTTCCCTTCTATGTGGGGAATGTTTTGATTAATTATTTCAGATACCTGCGGGTGCTTTTTTAGATTGTTTCGTGCTACGTTCTATTCAGCAGACCCAACAAACGTTTTGTCAACTGTGTAGCTGTACTAGTAGCGTCAACTATTTCGAAGAAACAGTTCACGCTACTATTTCGTCAAGAAAACGGAACTGACTTTAGGCTATAGTATACACATGCATTTTCCCCCTCTCCGCACCCCAAGTCATGGACATATCAGCCCCCCCCCCCCCTCCCCCCCGGCCCGAATTTACTTCGGGGTGGGGGGGGGGGGGGGGGGGGGAGCGGAGGCGGAGGCGGAGGCGGATATCTGAAAAGTCTGAAGAGAGACTTTCTCTTTTACACATCACTACAATATTATAGCCTAGGGTCGGTTCCGTTTTTTTTGACGCCCCTCACAATCCCGTGTGAGACGTTGTAGGAATTAAGAAAAAAGAAGAGAAATGCAAATACAGGGCGAGTAAAAAGAGAACAAAGAAACGCCAAACTATCGCTTCGCCGATAGTGAGAGAAGATGACGAAGAGGCCAAGTGTCCCTTCTTGTCGTTTCTGCCTCCGGCATCAGGACCACGTGAGCGGCTTCGTTACCTTCGTCTCCGTCCTATCTTGTCTGCGATTTCCTTTAATATCGGACCTGACCTTCGTCTCCGATTCGCTTGGCTCGTGCCGTTGAAACGAGGGACTTGCCTTGTCTGTCCTTGTCCCAGTCGCGCTGTAAGTTAGGATAAGAGGGAGTTGCCGCCGGCTTTCGCGCCTCGCGTTCGGCTTCGGCAACGCGGTGACGCGGTTATACCCAACACCCTTGGCTCCGGTGTCGCAAAGCGAGGCTTAGAGCCACTAAATGGGCCTCAGAGTATCGACGCCGGCGACGCTTCAGCCATCTTGATGCTTTAAATTACATTGTTGCCGATTGTCTGAAGCTTTACTCAAAATGACTGGAAACGGTTATTCGACCTCCAGAAGTGTTCAAACAATCCGCGACAGAGCAAAACGACGTCGCCCGAGACTCTTGGCACCGTACTTAGAGCTAAAAACGAGTCTCACTTTTCTAATCGTGGTACCAAAATGGCGGCGTCCGCGAGAAAATCGGGGAGCGGAGTGTCCACACTCTAGCCTAGCTTGTTTAGTGGCTCTGCCAAAACTCAGAAAAACAAAGAGAGAAAAGCGGAAGGTCGACGTCAGGTTAGTGGACCGACTCTCCCTCCGGAAGATGAGAGGGTTGGGCTTTCCGGCGCGGCTTCCGCGCCGTGCGGAGAAGCCGTTTTGCGGAAAGTTGTCGCCCGAGTGTTTGGGGTTGTTGAGGCGTGGTGAGCAGCGTTCGCATGTGCGTCGGCTCCAGTCGCGAGCGATGTTTGCTAATTTTTTGTTTCTTTCCTTGTGGCTTTGGCAGGTCCATCAAGGCCTTTCGTCAAGTGCTGTACATCGACCCTGGATTCCAGCGGGCCAACGAGATTCACTTCCGGCTCGCTTTGATGTTCAAGGCCATCTCTGACTACGAGTCGTCTCTCAAGGTGGGCGCTTTCTAACGCGCTTGATCTTTTTGTGATTTTTTTATATTTAGATTTCTAGTTAAAGGCCGACGCACAACCTCGGTTTTCTGGAGGGTAGATAATCCTCATAGCGCTCTTCATTCCCTAAGTTTTGCGGGGAGCCAAGTTGGGGCAGGGTAAAAAAAGTGGAGAGGATATAGGAAAGGAGGAGGCGCGAAAAAAGTGGAAAGCGCGAAGTGTACGTTGGGGCCTTTAAGACTGTATTTACGAGGAAAGAAGGAACGCGGAGAAGCTAGAAAGAACGGGGAATTTATGTCGTGCAAGTTAGTTGAGGAGGTGCTAGCTAGTCAGAGACTGCGTCTAAAACGTACCCCCCTTCCCCCCCCCCCCCCCCCCACCCCCCAAAAAAAAAATAGTGTTTTGTTTTTTTATCCCAAAAACAATCTATGCATCGCCCAATGCTCAGTCCCTGTCCAAATGGAGCGACAGCGATTTGGACCAGTTGCAAAGGTTTGAAAACTAACTGTTGCATTATTCAAAAGTTTTGTTTGTAAGCGTTTTTCTGAAAGTTTCAATGCGAAAATGGGGCTGGTTCCTGCTAGTTGAAGCCACTCATCCCCACGTATTGGTGGACTTTGTTAACCGCCATTTTCCCATTGAAAACGTCAGAAAGGTACTTACACCTTCATGTTGAATAACAACAAGTTGCGAAACTTTGGCTTTCGGGCGGGAGACTGAGCGTTTCGACGATACACATTTTATGGTTGTGGCAAATGAAAAAACACTCCAAATGTTTTTGGGAGACACCTTGTAGTATACGAAGACGACGTAAGTCGACTTCTTGGGGGATTCAAACATGTCGATTCTGCTCTTTTGTGTAAACCAGAGGTCTCAAACAAGCGGCCCGCGACTCCCTGGGACATGACCCTCAAGCGTCCGTCGCTGCGATGTCGCGTTCCTGCGACTCGAGCGCTGCATCCGCAATAAATAACGACCTCCTGTCGTTCATTCATTATCACAGGCAATGTATCTTTGCTCTTATGACGTTTCAACGTATTTGGCACTAGTCTGTTTTCTTTTAGATTGAAGTTTGTGCCGTCTTACATATTGTTAAGACAAGTATTTTCTTATAACTCTGCTGTACAAATTGTCAAGAAGGCAAAAACTACAGTATGAAAGGATTTCCTTTGGAAACATATTGAACTCGGATAATTCCCGAGTTTATGCTTGGTTTCTAATTCTATTGAACAATTCCAGGGCCTTGGCAGGATTGTGGTGTTTTAAGTTCTTTAATTACTCTTGGTAGAAACCCAAATTAGTTGTAGGAACAAATCAAAGCTAAAGACGGCACTGCCGAAACGGGTATTGTTCAAGAAGCAAATAGCAATAATAATAATTGGGGTTGTGTGGATGTTTATACAGCGTGTAGTTGGTCAGCGATTTCAAAGTTGCGACGAGTCACTCGCTGTAGGTGAGCAATTTAGCCAGTTCAGTACAACCGCTAGCCTGGAATCTTTAGCGTGCACCACACAGTAGTGATACACGACCGCACGCCAGTACGATGCTCATCCAGATCGATGAGCATTATTACAAGAAGCAAATAGCACTACCATAGAATACCGTGCATTTGCCCATTCTGCACTGCACCCACCCCCAAAATTTGGAACATCTGAAAAAATATGCACAGGACATTTACAATTGATCCCCTTTTTAGGAAATCTCTGGGTGTCACTGAAAAACTTGGCTGCTTTGCAACATAGAAACCATCACTGTTTTTTTTTTTCTTTTCCTAAAATATATTAATGAAGGGTCGTATGTTGGCCCTCGACACTTCAGAGTTAGGCTACTATGTCACCACATTCAAATGAGTTTGAGACCCCTGGTGTAAACGATGCTCAGTAGACTTTGAGGGTCGGTCTGTTACTCCTATTCTGGCTGCCATATTTGTTGAAATGGATGCAGCTATTTTGCATTTCCATTCGTTGCCCCTTTTGATTAATTATTATCGGCTTTGGTTAAAAGTAGGCCTTGCACGTAACTGAAGTTGTTAATAAAAGTTACGCCATATCTGTGGACAACTTTCTGTGGCATTTAGGAAAAAGGGATTGGCACCCAAGGGCTCGTGCGCCCATAGCTTCGACTGCATAGCCACAAAAAGCTGTCCCCAAGCATAATCGTAGTTCTCTGACTGGTTTGCTTGGGTTGCTATTTTAGTCAATGGCAAGAAGAAGAGACTTCTCTGCTGGCGATTGCATGGGACGTCACGGCTTTTTGCTGAACAAGCATGTTCGAACATTGAGAATTTTTTTTTTGTCTGTTTGCGACCCCACAGTCTTGTAATTGTTTTGGTGAGAATCTTTCAGCTTCAAACAGATACTGCGGGAAGTTTCCCAGCTGCAAATGTACCTGTACCGAGTGCACTTGCTCTTACCGACGAATGTTCGTTTGTTTGCAGCAGTAACATGACTTGACATTTGGAAAGGAAGCCCGGGTTGTCTATTGCTTCCTTCGAGAAATAGCCGACGTTCACAGTTTAAGCTGCCTCAGTTCATAGCACACCGTCTACCTTTGGTTCTGTTGGAGGGTGACACGTAGGTGTTTCTACATTCATTTTATTTTCGTCCGCTAATGACGTCTGTAGCACACAAAGCACCATTCTTAATCGCGCTTGCGGACTGACGGTGTCCTAACAATATTTTTGCTTTCTCTGCGAGAGCCAGCTGAGATTTCTCTTTCGCTCCCAAGGAGGCCGAAATCAAACCCTTGGTGGGGGACTTGCCTGTGGGCAACCAAAAAGTGCCGAGCAATCACGCGCTCCTTTTTGTTGCATTTTAGAATTGGTCAAATGCCCATGATTGCAACTTGGATTACCAGTGACGCTCGAGTTGGTCATTTGGCACATTCTGATTTGAGGTGGACGCTCGGTCAGAATTTCATGCTACATAAATTTCTCGTCAAGTACTGCGCTCATACGGTCTGTATTTCATTGCAGCATTTTCAGTTGGCGCAAACCGACTCGAGGTTGAGCACTTTCACGAAAGCTGAAAGTAAGTGTTGCTCCTTTTATTTCGACTTACTTTCGTCTAGGAGTGTCGCCGTAAATTTCTCTCAAACATCGAGATTGGACCGGTTCGGCGAACCTTTAAATCATTGGCAAAATTCAATGAAAGTTAAATTTTTAAACAGGGTTTTCTCTTCTATGATATTTCGAATATTTAGGGTAAATAATGTATGCTGTTGTTTCTTCTATATTTTACACAATGCAAGATCGAATCTGCAAACTTTTAATGATTCAGTTAGTTTATTAATACGGAGCAATATACTCCATTAATGACTGTTGCAGCTCGTTCTTGCCAAGTGGTGTCAGCCCATTTTCAATTTCTGCGCGTGCGCGTAGTGGTCGAAGTTTGGTTTATGTTTTGTCAAACTTTGCATGAAATGTTGGTTTGTGACACCCACGCTTTGAGCGCTTTCTGGTGTGCTAAAGTGTCACCATATCATATTATATTAGTCTTAAACAGCTGCTGGCATGCCAGAAATTGAGACATCAGCTAGACCCATGCTGTTATATCGACTCACTTGTGGAACTCCGGCAACAGGCTCCTTTGCATGTCGCCTCTATTATTAAGAGACATCATGATCATCATCATCGGCTGACGTCTTTCGTCTTTTCGAGTGATAGACTATTTCTAAAATGTATGAGGCTGTCATTAGCACTGTAATGTTTGAAAAGTTAGCTTGTTCCGCTAATAGCATGTTTCCTTGCGTTGCTGTGGTGTCATTCCACGCCAATGGAGACAGGGCAATTTTTTCATGTCTGGGATATGTATGAAAAAATGATTTGGATAAAGGCGCCTCTGAACTACAAGAAAAATATTTTGTTTTCTGAAAAAAATTTATTTTTGTGGACATCATTCATTACATTTCTTGGATTTGCATAAAACCTATGTAGTTAAGAAGAGCATTGTAAAAAAACAGTTGCTTACCACACAAATTTAGGTGGGTGCTTATTTCCTTAATAACATGCCCTATCTTACAACAAAATACAAATATAGTGAAAGACATAATTTTAAAACCAAATAGGAGCTCCAGAAAGAAGAGACTTCATGAGATTTCCTTATTTTTTATACTCCGTTTTATACTTAATATGCAACGCAAACCTGGAGGGATTTTCAAAGAGGCTCGTCTTTAAAAAGAAAAAAGAAAAGAAATCTTAGCAAGAACAAAAAGTACTTTAATAGTTTCTTGATATGTAGAACATATGAGGTGAATTGAACTTATGGCTATTTTGAAAGTTGCAGGCACCGCTGCCCCCATGTCTTTTTATGGCTCTCAATATAGCCATTTCTCCATAAACTTGAGATCTTGTCATTTAATTAAAACACAACAAAATGAGGCTATGAAAATTTAATACAAGCAAATCAATTATTAGTCTTGAAGGCCGATGACAGACTCTAGATTCTGCAAGGCAGAAGGCCCTCCTCAGCATGGTGGACAGGGTAGAAGGGGAGAGAGAAGAAAGCGAGGAAAAAGTGGAAAGTGCAAACTGGTCGTTGGTCTTTAAGAGAACAAAAGAAAAAAGTATTATAGCTACACCCAAATCGAAGTGACTAAAAAATAAGGAAATCTCATGAAGTCTCTTGTTTCTGGAGCTTCTATCTGAACTTAAAATGGCATGTTTCAATATTAATATTTTAATATAAGATAGGGCATTTATTAAGCAGTAATTAGGCACCCACCTAATTTGCGTGATAAGCAATCATTTTTTTGTTTTCCTTAACTACACAGGTTTTATGTGAATTCCCGAAACTTAAAGCATATTATCAGCAAAAAAAAAAAAAAGAAAAAAAAAATTCACACACAAAAAAAAATAGTTTTTTGGGAGTTCAGGGTTCTTTATTCAAATTATATTGTTTCGTGCATATCCCAGACATGGAAAAAAATTGCCGTGTCTTTTGGCATAGAACGACCCTGCGGGTATCGCAATGCGTTTAAAATCCTTGCCCTCTAAAGTTTAAAAAAGAAGCATCCCTGCACGGGCGTACACCGAGTCGCATACAAAGGAATCTCTAACATGTCTTGCCGTATTCCAAAGCGCATAGCTGACGATATGTCGCTCTTGTTCAGAAATTTCAGCAAGCAGGTGATACGTGCAGAATGCGCCACCGCTACAAAAAGTCTGACTCAGTTTCGAATGCTGCCTGTTGCTCAGGGTTACTGGGAAGTTCCACGACTAATGCGATCTAGTAACTTTGATTTAGACCCTGACGGGAGATCACCTTCGACTGATCAGCAATTCACTGGCGGTTAGGCAGCTCCAGACACATTTTCCGATATATTAACAGGCAGTCAAAGATAGTTGTCCTTGCATTGTTCTTGACCTGACACTTGTTCACGACACTGCTTTTTATGGTGGGGCTATTGGGTGCACAGAGTTTTGTTCGAGGTTGACTCAAGCGACACCACAAATGAACTTGACTCTCATTGTTTTTCTTTGCAGTACGCTTTCACATCGCTCATGTCTTAGAAGTTCAGGTGAGTCTCACTTTACGACTTTTGTTTGACGAGCGTGAGGAACAAAGAAAAAGTGACCAGACATTTTGGGCTGTATAGTGGTGTAGTGGCGTAAATTACGATAGCTAATGTGCCGAAGGGTTTGATGCGAGTTGTGGAAGTATCCTGACATTGGAACGGTGGCACCTTATTATTTATTTTATTCATTTACAAATATTGCAGACCTCCTTGGGTCCAAGCAGGATTCTACAACATAAAAAGACACTGATATAAAGATCAGAAACAGTAATATAATAAGGAAAAAATATAGATGCAAAATATAAAAAAATATAGCGGCTTTGGTTCATAACTAGATGGATGTCGATCGACTGAAACATGAAAGAACATACAATGTGCATAGGTGGCTTTTTCTCTTTTATTGTAAAAAGTGTGGGGTTGACCAGAATATATATAGTATATCTTGTTCGTCTAAACAGACTTTAGGATCTATGTAATATAGCCCGTTAATAATAATTTTGTTAAAACACCTAAGACTGGGTAAGAATCTTGAAACAACCTAAAGTAGAAGAGACATGGAAAAAAGTCACTCAAATGACATCTCAAACTCAGCTAAAACCTTTCTTCAGTAGACCTCTTATATACACTTTGAAGCCAAGGTTGTCACCAACCAACGCAACAAACAAAAAAAAAAATTAAAAAAATTAAAGACGTTTACAATTTTCTGTAATGCGAACTTAGAGCGCAGCTCTTGAGGAGGAGGAGGAGGAGGGAAGGAAAGGTTCCCCGCTAAATTTAACGGGAAAATTTCCGACTAAATATGGCAGAAAAAGTTTGCCGCTAAATTTAGCGGAAACATTTCCCTGCTAAATTTAATGGGCAAATTTCCCGCTAAATTTAGCGGGGAAATTTTTCCGCCAAATTTAGCAGGGGAATGTTTCTGCCAAATTAAGCAAGAAATTTTTTCCACTAAATAAATTTAGCAGAAAATTTTCTCTTTAAATTTAGAGGAAAAATTTTCCTGCTAGATTTAGCAGGAGGTGATGTTAGCTGCATTCAGGGGTTTTCCCAGGAATTGAAATTAGGGAGGTGTCTACATTAGAGGGAAGGGGGGGGGGGGGGGGGGGGTCAGGGGGGGCATCAAGAATAAAGGAGTTGCAAATTAAAGGGGGGCCTTCAGAGAAACAAGGGGGGTGTGTAGGAAAATCACTGCCTTTGTGACGTCACTCATGACCCTCGTGACGTCACATGTGATGTCATTATGGGAAACGTCCCATAATGCATCGCGCAGTTATGCCGACGCCGCTCAAGCCGGAAACGGGAAACCTAAAAGCTGCACTCTAAAAGTTTAAAACTCGTCAGCTACCATTGTACACACTTATGACACGCCATGACCTTGCACAGTCGCTCTACCTTCGAACAAAGTTCATACACACTTCTGAAAACCCCTAACCAACCCAGAGCGACCTTGCTGGCCAAGGCTATTGAACTGATAGGAAACCTCCAAGAAAACAAGAGGTGTTACCCTTCATGCTATTTGTCACCTTCACATGTCACTATTTAACTTTCCACAATTTTTTTTGCACTGCTGCACTAAAAAAGACAAAAAAAGGCACACACACTCACAAGGCAAGAACCAAAAGCATTACAGATGCTGGAACACTTTGGTACTGTCAGCTGTCAGCGAGGTACATGGATGCCTGACTTCTGCAGTTGCTTTAGCGATTGTATAAGTCAGGCATCCATGTACCTTGCTGACAGTACTATGGCATTCCTGCATTTGTAATTCTTTTGGTTCTTGCCTTGTGTGTGTGTGTGTGTGTGTGTGTATGTTCCTTTTTTCTTTTTAGTGCAACAGTGCAAGAAAATTGTGAAAAGTTAGGTATCATGGAAGGTGAAAAGAGCATGGAGGGTAACGTGTCTTTTGTTCTCTTCGAGGTTTCCTATCAGTTCGATGGCCTTGGCCAGCAAGGTCGCTCCGGGTTGGTTAGGGGTTCTCAGAAGTGTGAGCTTTGTTCGAAGGTAGAGCGACCACGCAAAGTCGCAACATGTCGTAAGTGTGTTCAATGGTAACTGCAAAGTTTGAAAATTTTTTTTTTCTTTATTTGTTGCGTTGGTTGGTGACGACCTTGGTTTCAATGTGTACCTATATAAGAGGTGGTTTTAGCTGAGTTTGAGATGTCGTCTGACTGACTTCTTTCCGTCTCTTCTACTTTTGGTTGTTACAAGTTTTTTCACCCCAGTCTTGGGTGTTTTAGAAAAATGGTAAACTTGCACCAGCTTACCTGTGCCCTCACTGTGTTTTTGTTAAATATGTTGTTTTTCTTGTTCTTGCCACAGGATGTGGTAACTAGTGTCGTCTCTTTGGATTCATATTTGCTACTATTGAAGCATGGAGTGTTTGAATTATAGTTTTCCTTTTATTCACTCGCTGTAGGCCTAATGGGCAGTATTGCTTCGGCTCTTTTTTGCTTTCTCTTGTACGTTTCATGCGAATGTCCACCCCTTACCTGTCACAGCCTCGGTTAGGGGTGAACGGTATTCATAAATAAATAAATAATTTGGCATTGAGATGCTCTAGTCTGCTTCTCTTTTTTTTTGGGTGCCGCTTATCTTACGGGAGTTGTCCGTTCCAGGGCAAGTTCAAGCAGGCCAAAGAAGCCTATGAGCAGCTCCTCGAACTGAAGGACCTCACCAGGTCCGTCCGCGCTGAAACTTTGAGGCAGCTTGGTGAGTCCTGTTCATCGAGCCAAACACTCCAAATGAGGTTCTTGGTCTCCTTCCAGAGGCATTGCGCGCCACACAACCCCATCTGGCATTGCCTCGCGCTCCTCGACTAAATATTGTACGCCGGTAGGGGCTCCGAATACCTCGGCCATTAAGAGTGCAACTCGTGCCATCCATTCCAGAATGGAAAGCCTTACCATGAGCCTGGTTCGCGATTCGGTGTCGGAGCTCGTTTCGTGCACTCTACGGGAGACGGCAGCCCTAGTAGCAACCTTAGTTCCGCAAATGTCCTGAGGATGCTCCAGCGTTCTGGGGACGTCCTTGGACATTCATAATACGTCCCCAGAACATTAGGACATCGTAAGGACATTCGCAGAGCTAAGTGTGCAGTGAGGAGCAGCGCCATGGGGCCCGGGACGACATCCGACGGTGTAGAGCTCTGGCTTTTGCGACGTCCTTCGTCGACACTCCGGGACCGCTTTCGGCGCTCGGGCGGAGCAGTGCACGAGGCGCAGCAGTAGGAGACGCTTTTCAGGAACCCTCGGCAGCGGCACCACTAGTGCTCCGCACCTTTCGGGGTATTTTTGTTGTTTCTGTTTTAAACTTTTGCTGAGCAAGGACCGTGTTTTCCTGGGAAGAAGGAAAAAGCAATGTGTGGGGAAAGGCTATGTGGCTTCGCTGCGAATGTCCGCTTTAGCCGACGGAAGAAATGCGGAGACGTTTATTTTTAATTGGCGAGAGCGCTCTGCCATTTCCGTGGACGAGTCGTGCCACCTCTCTGATGACTCAAAAACTTTGTTTAAAATTGGTAATTTTCACGGCAATTGAGAAAGACATTTATTTGGTCACCAGGTGTGATTTGTTGCTCTCCACCTTTCTAAATGTTTCCAGCAGTACTACGTGGTGAAGAACTACAAAGTGAAGAACATTGGATGGCAACGAATCAATTGTCAAAGCAGCAAACAACATCAGGAGGCAAAAATGCTTCCTTTAATTTGTGTCCAAATAGCATATTGCAATTTGAGGGTGCCAAATTAGGGATGCATAATGCAAGTAAATTAGTCCCTGCAAAATATGTATATGATTGTTAGTCATTCACTAGGTGCTGAAAATATACAGCAGAAATGCTACTGATGTACTGCTAACTGAACTTGAAGCATTCATACACTATACATATTGGTTCGTTTTGCCTCAAAGGAAGACTTAAAGTGCTATCTGGCTTCATTTTTTAGCCGCCACTGGGATCCTGGTTTCTATTAGACATAACTTTGTGTAGCTTTATGAGGATTAATTTCATACTGTAAAAGACTATTTTTGTGGTCTCGATACAATTTTACAATTGGGAGTGGTATGCTGTGTCTTTTTGTCGCATGGGAATATATTTGTGGGATTAATTTTGTGCGATACTTTTTAATTATAGGAATTCACAAAAATTTAGTTGTGTGCAGTACTGAATTAACTGTGATTAGAAAAGAAATGTTTGTCTACAGGGAAACCTTTTCTGACCTTCTTACTCAGCTTCATGTTTAGGCTGTCAGGCAACATATTTTGAAATTATCTGAAAAAGATGGCCTTGCCTACTTTCAAAGCTCCATACTTTCTTCAGATGGTGTTATGACTGCTTCGTGCGTAGGCAAGGGGAGGCAAAAGCATGCACGGCCGCCTTTGCAAAAAGTTCACATCATCCAATGGCTAAAACAACAAATGCCACGAAAGAATGTTTAAATAAGTTTTGCTGGTGTTGTCCCATTATATCCAGCTGCCACATTTGCCACGCACGCTTAGTGTGTCACACTTCGTGTATGTGTGCTTGTATAGCTCTTTATTGAGGAGCTACTACCGTAATATTCCGAGATATAGCCCACCTAAAATTGTGTGAAAATAAGGAGTGGGCTAACTTTCGGTGTGCAATCAAGAAAAGTTGAAAGAATTTTTTTAGGTCATGTGGCCCAGTCAGCTTCCCAGCCAGCAGTGTTCACTCATATGCCGCCATAGCTAACTAGACGGATTTACGTCGAGGTCATCATTGATCCGAATGCCACAATTACTGGGAGTGAAGTATGTTGGGGTGTTAAAAATAAAATTAGCAAATCGAGTCGAAAATAGGGGGGTTATATTTAGTGGAAAGGGTGGGGGGGGGGGGGGTGCATCTCTTGGGACTTCACGTAATATTCAATGTTAACGGCGGACGTGCTCTGCGCGCTTTCCACTTTTGCTTGCTTCCTCTTTTTTCGTATCCTCTCCAACCAAACGAAGCCACATGCTCGTGCAAATGCCTTCAACTGCTTCGAAGTGCATGGGAAACTACTCTAGCCTCGACATCATAGCACTAAAAAAAAATGTTGTAGCCGAGTTTAGACCATTCCAATAATTTCCTCCTCTGCGCCGCCATCCTTGTCTGCTGGAATGTGGGGCGTGTTCGAGCAGGCACAGTAGCTCTCTTCCGCGGAACACCAAGTGTCGCACGTGTGTCTGCAGCCCGGCGACTTGTTGATTTTATCCCGGGTGATAAGCGCCGGAAAGGTGTGCAAAGGCCTTTTAAAGCATGCGCTGGTCTGCTCGTTGTTTCAGTCCCCCGCATTTTCTGTGCGCTTTCTGTGCGTTTTCCGAGAGTGCGAGGTTTGAGCAAGGTGTTTTTTGTGGTGGCAGGTTGGATGCACCACACCCTCGAGTCTTTGGGAGAGAAGCCCCAGCGGCAGGCGTACGCCCTCCACTGCCTGCAGAAGTCCATTGAGGCGGACCCGTCAAGCGGCCAATCGCTCTACTTCCTCGGGCGCTGTTTCGCCAGCATTGGCAAGGTGCACGATGCTTTCATCTCATACCGCAACTCTGTGGACAAGGCAGAGGCCAACGCGGACACCTGGTGCTCCATAGGGTGAGTACGCCCTGCCCGTCTTTCCACGTCTATCCAATGGGCCTTTTTCCATCTGGTGGCAGTCACGGATACTCCGTGGGGTGCATCCACTCAACCCATAGTCTGTGTCTCTCCTGTAGCCTCTTTACGAAGGTTTGTGCCATCTAATGTCGGTAACAAAAACTCCATTTCAAGTGTCCTGTCGGTCTAGTACGTGGAGGTAAGAAGCTTCTGGAGGCGACACGACACCACCATAGGTGAAGCCAAAACTGTGGAGGGACACGCCACCAGCGATGGCCAAAATTAAGAAACGCTATTAAACGAAATAAAAGAGCTGACTCGGGCCCCGAGGGTGACCAAAACAGCTGTTGAGTCAGCTCTTTTTTTCGTCCCATGGCGTCTCTTGGTTTGGTCATCGTTGGCGGCGTGGCCCTTCTCACTTCTGGCTTCACCTCTGGTGGTGTCATGTTGCCTTCAGAAGCTTCCCACCACCATGGTCGAATTGGTAGCCGTCGGTAACACGAGGTATACCGTAATTCACAACTGTTCAATGGACCCTTTTCAGAAGTCGATGCAACCTACAAGGTTTAGAGGTATGGGCAAAAAAATGTACGTAGTTTTTTTCACTACAAAGGTGAACTAATACATGGCGTTATACTATTGCATTTTCTCATCCTCTTTGTGGTGGGCATTGTATGCATGGTGTATCAGTGCAGGGGTGGCCAAGCTGTGGCTCGCAAACCGCATGCGGCTCATCGCGTGTAAAGTGTGGCTTGCGCCCCCCCCCCCCCCCCCTCCCTCTCGACCCGCCTCCCTCCCAGTCACACGAGCACTTCCCCAAAAAGAGAAATGGAACGCCTATTAAATTGAAAGGCAGGTTGCGGCTTGGTAGTCCTGTGCTACTGCTACCTTACGTACAGTGGGACTGCTTTTGGCTTCAGATAGATTGAAAGTTGTTCGAGTTTCATTTATTGCTCTGGACAAAAGTTCGCCCCCCCCTCTTCGGCTCTTGGAAGTTTCGTGGTTTTGTTTGCGGCTCTTAGGCCGAGTCAGCCTGGCCACCCCTGATCTAGTGCATAGCCTATGCAGTAAACATGTCATGCATTTAATGCAAACAGGACATCTGCACTTTCTCGCTTCTTACTTAGGGTATAGTGACGAACGCCAAATTTTACTGTCCCAGTTAATGTCCTAGACAACTGAGACAAGTGTGTTCCAGAACACCAGTAGTTCTGATGACAGCCTTTCACTTAAAGGACAACTGCAGTCGAAAACGAAACCAAAATAATTGACTGGTGTCGCTTTAGTGGCAGAAAATAGGGTGACAGCCGAAATATTGCGTGAGAGTGAAGCCGCATTCTCCACTAAAACCTATTTTAAAGATGCGACCGGCTGCTCGCAGGTGGCAAGTGGGTCAGCTTTTAGTCGAGCAACACTGGGCGGCACATACCGCAGCACCACTGTGACATCATGTTGCAGCCATACTGCTGATATTAGTGTGGCCATCTCTCTCTAGCAGATAGTTAGTTTTGCTATAGACGCCCGAAACCAAACTTTGAGCCGCAATAATTATAAAACTACACAGAATATCGAAAAAAAAATATATATATATATATTCTGTAAATCACTTATTTTTCGCGGGCTCAATATTTTGCGACTTACATCAAAGCTGATGTCTTGGAATAATTCGCGGGTTCTAATTTTTGCGACACGGTGGCATCTCAATATAGATTCTAATGTGTTTACATTTTACCAGAATTGTTTGTTATTTGTTTTTATTTTGTTATTTTTCGCAAATTGTAGGCGATTCGCGAAAGTCGCGAAAATTAGGTCCTTGCGAAAATTCAGTCGTTTACAGTATACCTTTTAATTTAGGTGCACTGATTGAGTGGAAAACAGTCGTCACCCCCGATTAGGAAATATTGACCGGAGCTGCCCTTTAAAGGATGACATACACTTTGCGCTTTCCATGTTTGCCCACCTCGTCTTTCCTATATCCTCTCCACATTTTTCCTTGCCCCAACTTGGCTCCCCTCACAGCTTAGGAGAGGGGAATGCTAAAGGCCCTGTCACACTAAGGCAACACGACGGCAACAGCAACACAGCACATTGTCGATCAGTCGGGCAACTTGTTGCTTGCTCCCCGTGTTGTCCAACAAACCTGTCACATCGCGGCAAGAGCACGACAACATGGACGACAACTAAAATGTTGCCTCGGTATGACAGCTTTCAGCAACAAAAACAGCAGCAACTTGTGTTGCACAACGTGTGTTGCCTGATCGCTGGCTAAGCGAATTTAGGGCCGGCAACACGACAACATAGATAGCTTTGATGGTAGAACTAGTCCCCTATCAATAAAGTCTTACTGAAATGAAGGCTTGGAAAACGTTATTTAGCAATAATTAGGGCTGGCGTGCAGAAAATATTTTCGATTAATGTTTTTGCTGCGCAGTTACGGAAAGCGATTTTCGAAATGGTCACAGCTACGGTCGTGAACGTTCAGCCTGGTTTTTAAATTAGAACTGCCTAGAGACCAGCTCACATTACTGATAGTGAAATAAAATGGCATGCTTACTCACCCGCTAATAAAGTATAATAAAAGAAATCCAGAAAACCAAAGATTAAAAAATCGAAGCATAAAACGACCACTCTCATCATGATTGTTGATTCTTGGAACTTGGAAACAGCCGCTACCAGACACCTGATTTGTTTTCAAAATACCCGGACGTCTTGGGGGAATGAAGCGATCGCATAGCGTTGAAAGATATTAATTCCACTGATTGTTATGAAGGCCGATTGTGTCGGTGTCGCAGTTTTGAAGCACCGTCAGTTCAGCTCTACACCACGCTACAAAAGACGCTTTGGGGTACTGCCGGTGTTATCTCAATTTTACAGTAGAAATAAAAATTGCATGAAAGAACCGGACAGAAACACTTCCTACGGTGGCGTAAATCCCGAACATATCAGGCGATGTCACTTTCCTCGGTTAGGGCTATCTGCTTTATCAGCGAATGAAGAACATTTCGATAAAATAAGAGCGGAAAATACTCCCCGAGTCAAATTTTCTAATCACAGTCACTGGTTGATGTCGTACCGTGGTAATTCCCGGCCCTTCGAACGCACTAGCACTTTGTAGAGTCACGTTTGCAGCGATTCCGCGCCGCATACGAACGAAGGTAAACAGTCAAGATGGCGGAGTGTTCCCCGTGTTGTCCCCACCGTCAGCGCGGTGTGACAGGGTTGTCGGACAACAGATCGGACAACATGGTTGCCGGGCGGCAGCAACATGTTACCCGACTGTTGTTGCCTCGATGTGACAGGGTCGCCGGCAACACGACTTCCCCATGTTGTCGGATAGAGTTGTCCAACTGTTGCCTCAGTGTGACAGGGCCTTAAGAGGATTGTCCTCCCTGCAGAAAACTGAGTTTGTACGTCTGCCTTTAGGAGAGAGAACAAGGGAAAACTGGCAGTGCCTCTTTGTGCTAGCTGTGTTATGCTCTGTATACATGCATGCAACGCCAAAGTGTTGTCCATATTACCATATAATGCACATGAAAAGGCACCACATAGTAAAACTGCATACTGCTGTTTTCAAGTGTGCCTAATTTCTCCCAAATTCATCATACCAGAACTGGCCTATTGTTCTCTCTGATAGAAGTGTGTTAGGTGCTTTACCATCATCCCCAGCCACTTTCTCATTCACGAATACAATCCAGTGATATTCGCAACACGTCCAGCAGCGGAGATGAAGTCATACAAGGTTGTTCAAAGTGCTGATACAAATCAGATCAGTTTTTAATGCAGAATGTTTTAGAGCTGACTTCAAGTCTAGGGCTTCACAATAGGTTGTAGCAAAAAACATGATAATACGCATCCAGGTTTCTTTTTAATAATTACTTTGTCTTTTGGCGGGGATCAAACCAGCCAACTCTTTAATCAGCAGTGTGCTCGTGTGGCCGCACAAAGATTTGGGGCACCATGTAAGGACATCACAGTGTGTGGGGAGGGAGGGAGGGAGGGAGGGAGGGAGGGAGGGAGGGAGGGAGGGAGGGAGGGAGGGAGGGAGGGGAGGGGAGGGGAGGGGAGGACTTGGTAACTTGATGTTACAGAGTCACGTGACCATGTAAGGGGATGGTTACGTGACACACCACAATGATGTGACATGATCATGGGGTTGCTGTTACGGGACCACCGTCTCTGTACACCTTTCCAAGAAACACTCAGGAAGGGACAAGAGAACCTTTTCCAAGCCTGCTCACTGGGTTTGATGCTAGTCTCTGACCGGCGTCCCTGCTAACCCTAATTGAGTGGACTGTTGATTTTGATGGCGCAGCCTGCGTAGGCGCAGTTTCAGACACTGCTGGCAGCTAAATTCTCTTTTTTTCCCGCGTTTTTTTTTTTTTTTTTCATTTACTTGTGTTTATTGTGTGGCAACCCCTGATGACATTGAGCAAGCATTTTCCTGATGACATTGAGAAAGCATTGTATCACATTTGAAACAAAAAGCAAACTGCGAACAAGTTTTGTTGGGTACATGCATGACAGAACAAATGCGACTGGAATGTGTGTTTTATTTTACAATGAATTTTTTTGGTGCCGCCCGCCCAGCCATGTCAGTCGACAAAACGGTTAGCTGCCGAAAATTATTTACAACAGAAGATAACTGAAAGGCACTCATATTTCACTCGCGCAAGTAACGTGTTTACCAATGTACACGACAGGACTCTGGCATAAAATTTAGCAAGTGTTAACATTCTAACAATATATTGTGGGTACCCCTTGGTGCGGCGTTATCCAAAAAGGATTTATTTGAGAAAGATCTGAAATAATGCAGCACTACAGTGTCGACGACTGTCAGATCTTGACGATCGGATGGAAACTAAGAAAGCCTGCTTTTGGGGCACGTTTTAGGGTGAGCTTCTTTTTTTCACAGCACCAGCACCATGGCAAAGGAACAAACGTGACTGATCTGTCACCAAACAACTTTTTTTGGCAATGGCTGAGAAGGTCCTTACATGGGCTATCTCTGGGAGTGTTCTTCCCTTCCTAAGTTTCCCGTGAATGTCGAGCACAAACGCTGGAATGGCAGGCACTTAACAGCTCTATTACTCACAGTGGAAGATAAAACGAAAAGGGTATGCAGCACGCGTAAGAAAGAATTGGAAACATTCAAGAGAGACGCCACAGAACTTGGTATGCCAAACCGCAAAACATAAATTTAGAATGGCACTGAGCAGGTTTCAACAGTCTAAGAGCATGGCAGAAAATTTCTAGCTGACAGGAGGCACGAGAGTCGCACCAGCCGCTTCATCATCAGCAACATGGCAGCGGCCTAGGAGCGTTTTTAAAGCGGAGCTGTGAGGGCTAGTTTCCCTGGTTTCGTGTCCATTCACCAAATAAATGTTGACGCAAAACTCTGGACAGCTACCGCCATCTATGAACGACGACGGCAACCAGACAACTGGCTTGCCGGTTGTCTGGTTGCTGCAGTTGCTCATAGATGGTGGCAGCCTTTCCAGCCTTTCCACTCTGGTTTTCCCCAGAGTGGAAAGGCTGAATTTTGCTAGGCATCATCCTAGAAGTCGTCCTTGGGGTCGTCCTAGATGTTGTCCTCGAGATCATCCTAGAAGTCGTCCTTGAATCATCCTAAACGTCGTCCCTGAGGTCGTCCAGGTGTCGTCCTCTAGACGCCGTCCTTGAGGTCGTCCCACCATAGTACAGCTTGGCTGGTCTTCTTTCTTCACTAGAGTGAAAAGGCTGAAAGTTTTTTTTGTAAAAGCGTATGTTTGGAGGAAAGGACTCATGTATGTCGTACTACAACTGCCCTTTACGCGTAGGATCGAGGTGATATGTTTCTCAAACTTGCCCAAGGAATTTCTGGGCTTGAAGGGAGACGTTACGGCCGTCGTGAGTGCATTTGGGCACCTTTTGTGTTCTTAATTGCGGCCTGTACCTTTGGCAGGGTGCTGTACCAGCAGCAGAGCCAGCCCATGGACGCCCTGCAGGCGTACATCTGCGCAGTGCAGCTGGACAAGGCCCACAGTCCGGCCTGGACCAACCTGGGGGTGCTTTACGAGAACTGCAGCCAGCCCCAGGATGCCCTCAAGTGCTACCTCAACGCCATGCAGGGAAAAGGTGCCTCTATTACACACGCACAAACCGCTGCACTGACTCAACGAGCGCATTGCTTGAGTAAAGGGAATACGTTCTTCAAGACAGTGGGCTCTCGCGCTAGCATCAGCTTTACCCTCACTTACGGTGGAACAGAGTGTAGGAGGATGTGGAGGTGTTGTCAGATGTTTGGCTCTGTAATTTGGCAAAAATGGATATAAAGTCTAAAAGTTTTCAACCGCTGATAAAGGCTGTTTGGGGATATTCCTCTTAAAGGCTGACAGGTAGCCAGGAAGGACGACACTTTTTCCCAATTTCTCCCTTACATTTTAGAAAGAGGGAGACCCTCTTTCTCTCTGCAGGTAGTGGCTCAAAGACCCTCCTCTGTGGGGAGAGGAGGAGAGGAGAGAGAGGGGGAATGAAGCAAAGGTAATGGGAACCGATTTTCTGCCCAGCAGAAGACCGGTTCTCATTTCTGGGAATTGGACTGTAGGTTGGCCTTTAAGAAGTGGGGCATAACCCGCATGGAGTGGATTTTGCTCACAAAAACTTGACGCGACAAACGCACGCGCCGACAGGCTGACGCAGGTGTACCCAAATGCAGCGACGAACAACCGCTGCCGCCGGCGCGCTCTCAACGTTGTCGGGCTACATAAAATTGCAACATATGTAAATAATACTGATAAAAATGGTTTCAAATTGATTCGCATGCCATAGCAGACTAGTGTTTTATTTTTATATTGGTAACCAAACCGTCTCCGAACCGCACCAATGGCACTAATATCTCTGTGCACGAAAAGGCACACCGAGTCCACTGCGCACTCCTTTCGTGCCGCAAATAGCGGATGCTTCGAAATCAGGTGACTGGTTGCCCGGCTCTCTTTGGCGAGAGCAGATTCATACTTCCCTCGTCAGTGCGGCTTGCACATTTTTTTCTTGCTCAAGCGTTGCTGAAAACGAGCATGCGTGCATTTAAATTAATGTTGCGCCGAAGTTGCCGCGTGCGGATCCCGCGCATAAATGTTTCATGCGGGTCACGCTTGAGAATAAAATTGAGACTTTCTGGGTGCTTTCTACTGATAACGGAGACGTTCGTCGTAAGGGGTCTGCACCGCAAAAAGCTTCTGTCGGAGCCAAGCTTGATTTCTTCATCCAGAGACCTGGAGTCCACACTTTGTCCCATAGCTGCGGGGGCAGTACTTCAAGCTATCTCGAGTGCTTCTAGCATTGCTTTACTCAACTGGCGCACTTCCTTGATAGTTCGGATTCTTTCTGAGGGACGTCGTTGAATGTTGTACCGTGCCATAGGATTGATGGATATTTGAATTAATATTTTGAAACATCAGGCACGTGAAGCGACTTCTCCGCATGTACATATTGCTCGCTACCTCGTGTGTGGGAACGCTTACCTCTCGTGTCCTGTCCCGCTTTTAATATGTTGCGCCAATCACAAACAGTTACAGTTGTGAGATTATTTCTTGAGTGTTTATATGCTTTTTGTTACCTCCAATATTTGAAAGGTTTTTTATGCTTCCTTCACACTCGCACTTGAATCGCAACTGCAAAGCGGATTTGCTTGTTTTCACCATCAAATGCGCATGAATTTCTATTGAGTCTTTAAGCGAACGCACTCACAATCGCCTTATGAATGCGGTTCAACCACCATTGTGAATGAGGTATTAGTGTGCTTTTAAGAACTGTTTTTCGTGCCTGACCTGTTTCACTGTGTCTCGCTTGCAGGCTCAGTGAGCAGTAACCTCAACACGCGGGTCAAGTTTCTGCAGGGGCAGCTGAGCGCTGCCCCTGCAGCCAACGTTCAGAAGTAAGTCCATGCCTCCCTCTTTCTTGTCGACCAGCTTTTAAGTTCACACCGTTCCCTTCACCACCTTGTTTGCACGATGGTTGCAAAGCTAGTGTAGCTTCCTTTAAAAGCATGCCACCCCTTCCCCTTTTTGTGCATATGCAGTGTTAAGGTTGGAAGGAGAGGGAGAATGGATTCCCCTTTTCTTTCCTTTAGCGCTTTTTTTCTGCTTTGTTGGCAAAGCAAGGCCTGTCTTGTTGCACATTGCAGATGAGTATGTACGAGGTGTGGTCGAAAGTACTAACACATTTTGCGAGTCCTATTTTGTTGCACATTGCAAATGGGAATATGCAGGGTGGGGCCGTAATGACGGACACATTTTACACGCCTTGCAAAATTTGGATTCTAAACATACATACCTGAGATTGGGCATGCAAACATAGTTTTGCCAGAAGTTTTATCTGTAATGTTTTTAGAGATCAAGTCTGAGGTAGTGAAATTTTAAAAATAAAGCAAAATCGGAGGCCGTGTATTTCTTCCCAGCTTGTTTGTCGTCTGCACCCTGGTTTATGAGCTTGCTCCCGGGTGGCTTGCTAAACGCAAAAATGCTAAAAACCTATGTCAGAGGCTGGCGATGCGCATGATAATCGCGATAATTAATACTTTTAATGAAATATATGAACAATGACCACCTGGGAGCAAACTCAGAAGCCAGTGTGCAGACGACGTACATCCAGCACGGGGCATAGAAAACGCACGGCCGCTGTTTTCTCTTTCTTTTTAATCTTTTACCATGTCTGACATCTGCTTCATACAAAATACACGTAAAACTTCCTGCAAAACTATGTTCGCGTGCCCAGCTTCCGGTATGTTCGTTTGGAATCGCAATTTTGTAATGCATTCCAAGTGCATTGGTCCTTATGGCCGCACCCTGTAGATACATTAGGCAGCTCGGGATGAACATAAGTACCTGCCACATTCTGCTTATTTTTGTTGATTCCTGTGGTCACACGACAGGTTATTGCCTCTCGGGGCACAGCAGCATTCTGGTCCATCGCCGGTTTCACTGGCACTGCATCTTTCCGAGACACAGGAAGAGAGGCAATGCGTCTTTTATCCAAAAGCCGAAGTCGTCAATAGGACACAATTTGATTAATTCAGTAACATAGCAGACCGATTAGCTCAAATGGCTCGAACGGGGCTGCCGTGCACGAGGCGTTGTCAAGATCCTTCATCCGTTCCTTCAGAATATATTGTTTTGCCTGCTTTGCTAGCAGGGTGCAGGCATCTTCGAAAATACTTAGAGCACGGGTTCTAAAATGGGTTCCCCAGAGTACCCCATGGTTTCCCCCGGGCTCCCAAGCTTTCTCGGCTGTCCCTGCCCCTAAATGAAGTGTTCTTCCAGTTTAAGCACTGCTTCAGAAGATCCGAGCCACCCAGTGACGCATAGCAATCTGCCAGACACACCAGAATATGCATTATAGTTTACAAGGTCCGTAGCTTCTGCACAGCATTATTGCATTATCGCCGAGGCCAAGAGGTGTTCCCCAGCTGCGAATCAAGATAGCGTTCCCCAAAACAGAAAATTTTGAGAGCCCCTGTTGAGGATTTCACGTAACGACGAATTGTTATCGGATCCATCGAGATTGGCTTTCAGAAGCCCGAGCACGCTTTGGAGGCTCGTGCCACCCCCAAAAAGTGCAAACGCGTCTGACGCCGCCTCCGCTCCCTTGTGCCGCACAGACCGCGGCAGCTGCCGTGCATCGAGGATGCCTGGAACATCCCCATCTCCCAGGAGATGGCCTCCAGGCAGAACAGCCAGCAGAACAGGTCTACCGTGGGCACTGTGGCCGGGAACGTGGCCTCCTCCCAGCGGCCCAACGCCGGAGGCTACGGTGCCACCGGTCCGCAGCAGCAGCAGGGCTACGGATACCCTGCGGTAAGCGGCGGCTCGTTATTGCGCATCAACGCCGTGTATTCCGGTCTATTGTAGAAACAGCCATTTTCACAAAAAAGTTGGTACGTAAGTCACATTTATATGTATGTACTGCCGGCGCGGCAAAACGACATTGATTAACCCGCACACGTGTATTGTGATTGCGGTATTGTATAGACCGACACGTGGGCTTGACGTCACGGCGCTGCGATCGCGCCGGAGCCGAGGGGTGTGGGCAAAAAGGCCCACGTATCGCATGCGCGTCATAGTATTTCAGCATGCCGTGAAGCTGTGTTGCCGTTAATCTCACCAAAATGTACAAGAAAAGTAGCGGAGTGAGCTTCTACAAGTTCCCGGCAGACTCTGAAAGGCATAGAAAATGGATAATATCCGTGGATCGAAAATATGGTCGCCTCGCGCGTTTGTGCAGCAAGCACTTTCTTGGAGGCAAGTGCGGCTTCCATTTCAATCTCCGTCCCGAGGCTTGCTTATGTACAGGGAAACCGTCCTCTAATTGAGACCACCCGGATTTTGTTCCCACGGCGTTCGCGCACAAAGCACCGGCCAAGCGCTTTTCGGAGGCTCGCTACGCCCGTGCTACCCAGCAGAAGGGGATCGGCGGCAGAACGGCAGTGTTGTAGGCGTTACCAAAAAAAAAAGTAAAGAAATATGTTACTCGTTACTTGCAAATAAAAGGTATGCGTTACTGAGCTACGTTTCCTAAAAATAAAAGGAATGCGTTACCGCTACTGATAAAAGGTAACGCACGTTACTTCTGCGTTACTTTTTAAATTATGATTTAACACGTTTTACGGTTTTGATGATACAGGTATGCATAAGCTCATATATCAAGAAACATTATGTTTATGCAGAAACAGAACATAATTACTTTATCTCTTTTTACGGTTTCAGCTAAATACTGACGAGGAAAAACGCCAAGAAAAACATGGCTTGACGCCTAAAAACACGGAAAAACTTGAAGTGTAATTGTAGTAACGAGTAACGTACCTAACTACGTTACTTGAAATAGTAACGCAAGTATGTCACCCGTTGCTGTGTCGAAAAAGTAACGAGTAGGTTACTATGTTACTGAAAAAAGTAACGCGTTGCTGGTAACGCTGTTACTTGTAACGTGTTACTGCCAAGACTGCAGAATGGACAAAGCATTACTGCCTGTCATCTTTGTGGTCATGAGAGTAGGAAAAATAGCATACCTTGACTTAAAAACGCTGTGTGTATTTATTTAATTAATAAATACACTTCCGCAGACCCCCAGTCTGCTGATCCCGCCGGCGGTGCGGAAACCGACTCAAAGGGTGGCAGCAACTTCACGTCGGAAGTCCAGCAGGCCTTGTTTACGGCGTACGGATCCTTGTAGGCAACGCTGTCCACGCACAGTTTGTTTCGATACCGCCGCCATTCAGGCTCGGGTAGCGAGCTCAAATAGTCGGGCATAGCATACGACATACGTTGCCAGGAAATACGACTCACAAATAAAGCTAGAAGCGTCCCTACAACGTCAACAATGAGCGCACGCCACACAACGCAATGGCGAAAACACGGAGGGCCGGGTCGCTTTTGCCCACATAGCTACCGCGCATGTGCGGCCTTCCAGCCGTGTTGGTAAACAGAGCCGCTCCGCGTGTCGGTCTATATCCATGGGTGGGAGCCAGTTTCAATATTCTCGCCAATGAATTAAACGAGAAATACAGTCATCGCGGCAAGTCTGTGCAGGTAAGGCCTGTACTTGTAGGAAAAAATGCTTTTAGGACGGATCGGAAAAAAATACGGTACTTACTGTCTTTGCACGATTCTAACGCACACTTTTTTCGCCAAAATCGGTGCCCAAAGCTACATGCGCATTACATTCGAAACTGAAAACCGAAACTCGAGAAAAACGCAATGCTCAGTATAGTGTGGCTAGCCCCTTCGCCAGTGTGACTATTTGTTTACATTCGCCATTGTGGAATCCGTATCACGCACATTCTCTCGTGTCTACAGACTCGTGCCTGTCGTTTTAAGGGGGGACACTACCCAGAGAAAAAAAATATTTGCAAAAAACATTGATTTTGAAAAATTACATATTTACATCCATCTACATCCAGAGAGTATTCCCAGAAATTTTCACTAGTTTACACTGCATAGTTAATTTTTTATAAATTATTTGCTGTCCACCGAAGCTAAAGAAAAGGTAGGGTTTGGAGCACTTTGAACACATTTTTCTCCGTTCCACTTTATGGTATAAATTCCATTTTAGTCAATCTATCGTTTGATAATGGCAATACAGGGAAGACTCGTTCTTCACTTTTCCTGACTGAAATTTAATAAGGAATGCGCCTATGGAGTTTGTTTGTCACTTTACGGATGTCATTTATAAAAAATGTTGATATTTTGTCGGAGACACAGAAGACCAAAAAGTTGACCAATTTTGCATTAAGAGAAAATTGATAGAAATCAATGACTTTTTACAAAAATCTTTCCATAGGCATACCTCCTAGGCATTCTGCTACATATCTAGCGAATAAAAATCTTGAATATTGTGATAGTTTTCCGACGATAGATTAACTAAACAATGTAGGGGTATGGCTGATAGAAGCTGCGCTAATTTCCTTTCCACTTAACCGACAGATCTGAAATTTTGTTATGCACCCTCTAGCATGACCACCAGCCTACCCTGTAAATTTCATTAATTTTAAGTCAAAAGTTCAAAAGTTGACCCTCCCAGGGGGTGTCTCCCCTTAAGATGGAAAAAAAAAAAATTCCACTAGGAGGCTTTTTTTTTAAACGAAAGGCCATCACGCTGGCGGAAAAAGATAACAACGGAGCAACACTGTGTGGCCTCGCGATCTCAGCCATCCGACAAGCTCGCAAAGTCTTTGAAAAGCGACCCTGCCAGAGGCAACGGTCGCGCACTCATACATATGCAAGAAGTGCGTCACTTAAAACGCTTTAGATGAAAGAAAGTATTGATTACCTCTGCGGACAGCAAAGAACCATCGTCAAACTCTGACAACGGCGACTAGTGCACGGCATTTATTTTTGTGTTGACGAGCGTTTCATAAAATCTGTTCTATGAGGTATGTGGTCAATCTTCATTGTTTTACCTGTACGGTAGAATCGGCAGCAATTTACTTTTTGATTATCTGGAAGCTTAATCTGCCTGCACGTTAGGATTGGGGCACCTTAAAATTGTGCAAACACGGTAGTTTATGGAATGAGTCAGATCGGACGATCGTGGCCAGTGTAACTCATGATCGCGATCTTGAAACAAAGACTTCAATGCGCGATCATTGCAAAATTGTGGGACTGTACTCTGTACACCCCTTTTTGAACTGTTCAATTAAACGGTGCATTTATCTGTACATACTCGTTCTTAAAGAAAGGGGAGGATTACCTCCTCTCTTTTGCTTGCGTAGCTGTTTTTAGACACTCAAGGAAATCTGCAAAAATATACTCTTTTATATTGACGGTGCTTTGAGCATTGTCAATGTAAAATCCCCTCCACCCCTCGCTTCATCCCCTCTACCCCTGCGCTGCAAAGCTGATGTCGTTGCACCAAATCGCAAAAGCGTTACGTTTTCATGGCATGACGTGTGCTCTGCTTGGGAAAAGTGCTTCCGATTTCTTCCTCATGTGACTACCACTTTTCTGGTCCTCAAAAAACTCTCTGTATGTCGTTGATTTCTTTTAGGTTGCCCCACAATGCCAGAGGTAGCATTAGAGGGGGGAGAGGGTGGGTGTAATAACATAAAATAGAATCAGCTAATGTTCGCATAAGACAAACTAGCAAGCAATAAACGTTGCGCAAGTGGCCAAAATTCATTGCACAGTAAAAAGAAGAAAAATTTCTGGTAAATTGCTAGGCAATTGTATTGCATACATGAAATGTTCTTGCATCACAGATATTTAGCGATACTCCAAGCTTCCAGACGCCCGGCGCTTACGTTAACAGTGCTCTTCATCAAACAATTTAATGCAGGCCATGTGTACGCTGATAGTTCCTAGGATAAAGCAATTCTACCGCTAATCGGGCTGATAAGCCTGGCGATCTTCCCAAGCCAATTATACTTTCCAGCTCCTCTCCCTCAGTGCACACAGGTGGTTGAACTCCCCCTTGCCTACCTCACTCCTCCTCGCCTACCCTTTGGTCTCATGACCTCCCCGTTAACCAATCCACGTCGAGCCACCTCGCTCTTCTTCTCCCACTCAACAACCAATCAGTGTCTCGCCTCGTAGCCACACTTTTATCTGGGGTTCTCAAAATGCTGACCATCTAGCCAAAAAATGTTTCACATTAACAGCACCTCGCGAGTTTCAAAGTTTAGCCTTCCTCTCATTCCTGACTAGCACGAGAGATACTCTTAGTCAGTCAATCAACCAATCAATCCATAAATTACTCACGCGTGTGCACACAATGTTGCCAGCAGGGTCCCGCCTCCTCCGGCTACCAGCCGGGCCCGGATTCGTCGGACCAGGACGGCAACAGCGCCAAGAAGCTGAAGGTGGCCTCGGGGTCCTCGAGGGCGATGACCCCGGTCGGAGGGGGCCCCACGGTGGCAGGGGCGACCCAGGCAGTGGGGAGCTCCCCCACGGGAGGCGTGCAGCCGGCGCAGCAGCCCCCGCCCTTCTACCTGAACCAGCAGCAGCTCCAAGTACTGGGCTACCTGCAGCAAAATCAGGCAACCCTGAACCCCCAGCAGCGCATGGTGCTTCAGCAGCTTCAGCAGCAGCACAGGCTCATGCAGCAGCACAAGCAGCAGCTGCTGTTGCAGGTCCGGAATCTCGGGTTCTTGTGGTCCGAAAACGTAGAGGCTAGTTCGGGCTGCGGTCGCAGATAGCTTAATTAAGAAATGTGGGGCGCAGCGAGTCCTAGGCGTCTTGTGTTCACTCTACAGCCAACGAGATGGCGGCATTGGCTGACAACAATGCCAAAGAATGAATTGCAAAGCAAGGAGCACGAACGTGATAAGCCACAACCTTGCATTTCTTAAGTTTTTGGCGAGTATAGAGCCATTAAATAATCTGCGCTCGAGAATAACTACTTTTCGGCCATCTCATTGCTTCAAATCATTGTCAGCAGTTATCCGAAGCTTTATTCAAAATTGCAGAGAACTTCTTTTTACGCTCCAGAAACATCTGCAATGGAGAAATATGTCGTAGCCCCAGAATCAAGAAAACTCAATGCATGCGAGACAAGTTTGAGGCTCTAAAACATAGACTAATTGACCCTACCCATTTTGTGCACACGTAAAACAATCAGCATCAATCAAGAAAAAAAAAATTATTGCTTTGTTTGAGGGCTCTAGGGACCCTAAGAAGGTCTTTGGGGACCCTAAGGGGTCTGCAAACCCCCATTTGAGAACCAGCGACGTAAAAAGTTTCTTTTGGCGAAACGCTAGTAATTCATTTCCCTCGTCGCATCTCCCAAAGCAGGAGCAGGACTCGGACTAGAGAATCTCTTAAGAAGTAACAACTTTTTACCAGACCTAAAGCTGACATTTGGCCAAGTATTTCATGCCTCACGCAGAAAGCATTTTCTTTTCCCGTATTAGGTATGGCCTTGGTAAGGCCGGGATCTAAAGCATAAAATCGTTACAGAAAGGGCATTCTCAACACTAAAAGGGTACCATAGATGAAAAGGTACTTGCATCGTGTTAAAGTATATATGTATAATACTTTTTTTCTCCTTAGCGTCAGCAACAGCAGCAAGGCATGGTGACTGCGGGACAGCCTACGGCGGCCCTCGCCGGTCAGCCCGGAGCGGCGAGCTTTGGCCAGCGTCCTTATCAGCAGCAGCAACTTCAGCCGCCTTACGGTGTTGCGCAGCCACCAGTACCCCCACAACAGCAGCAGCAGCAGCGGATGACCAATGGCTACGCGCCGCCGGCTGCCTTCCGGATGATGCAGGTCAGCACCCTTTGTACGGTCCATCCCTCGACTGTACACTGTGCGACACCACTTAGAACCGAGTGCCTCGAAACCTTTTGGGATCTCTCGCAACGATTGAATGCTCTGGCATCACCTATTGGTTGGCCGTAGTACACTTTTAAAAGCCCTTTGATTCTAAGAGGAGAGCGGCAAAACCTGGCAACAGCTTGTTTGTGCCAGCAGTGTCGTATCGTGCACCCGTTTACTTCCCACGTAGGAGCAGTTTGGTGTGGGCGGAAGAGATACTTGCCCTTTGTCTGCCAGCGTGCCTTTTCCGTGTTTGTCACGTGCCTTGCCCCGTCCGCGTCAACGCCTCGTCTCTTTGTCTCGCGACTTTTGAAGAGGCTTGTCACATCTGTTTGGGTATGCCATAGGCCATTTTTTTGTTGAAACGACCCGCATTCCTTTTTTTTGTCTCATTCCTTTGAGCGCCATCTTTCATCGTGTTCAACCTCGGGGAAAAATGTATAGAATGGGGCCAAGGACCGGGTGCCATTTTCCGGTCGTGTTTTTTTTAAGAAGCAACGTTTCAGACTGATGCACATTCTTTGCGGGTATGTTTTTCTCTCGAAAATCCGAAACGGCTTGACTTTCCCAATCGGAAAATTCCTCGGCATCTCAGTCACTTCAGTGTGGAGATCGGCGCTGAGCAGGGTGAACTTTAAGTGCGTCCTGCTTCCCAGAAGACCGAAAAATGCATAATTTGGGGGCTACGGCTCATCGTGTCATGGTATTGGCGCAACGTGGTAAGTAGGGCTCTGTTTTCGGTATATACTGGTAAGCCTTAAAAAGAATAACCCACGAGCCACTTTTATTATACTAGGTAAAAACCCCTAATTTGAGCTGTCCTCAAATAAAAAAAGAAACCAAGCTTTACGAAAATAAATTTTGGAGTATACAGCTTCATTTTTTGTCGACCCAGAACACTGCCCAGACTGAACTTTCCACGAGTCTGCTCCTTTCTTGGGGAACCACACCTCTTGTTTTGTTTCCTTCCGTCATTGATGTGCGCGTTGATGCACATTGATATTCGCATGTTTTTTGAAGGTTGGGGGAAGCCCCTGTCCCCTTCCTTAACACACCAGAAGCTCCAAAAAATTCTGATATTTCTTGATGTCTAACATGAAAAATTGACATTGGAAATTACTATGGGTGTGCGAATGCTCGAATATATGAATTCGAATCGAATAGCAAGTTCCTGAATAATTTGATTTACGAATCGAATTCGTAGTATTCTGTCACTCGAATATTCAATATATTCGGCCAAAGACGCACAATCGGCGCGGGGCTGACAAAAGAGCCGTTTTTTCTCCCGATGTTAGCGCCATGATGTTAGACAGACTAATGAAGAAACACCTCTTGGTCCTACCATTCCACAAAAATCAAATGCACATGTTAGAAAAAAGAAAAGTAGCGAATACCACAAACCACTTACAACGTAACCGCTTATAGTGCAGGACCGGGTATAACGCGGTTTTTTTAAACCACCGGTTCACCTCCCATAGAACTCCATGTAATTACATACCGCTTAAAATGCAGGCGCGAGAAGGGAAATACCGGTTATAGTGCGGTTTTTTGGCACAGCCCGCCGACCGCGCCGACGACCGGAGCAGCGAGCTCGCTTCCCTGTGCGACACTAGATAACAGCGCTGACGGCGCGAGCCGCAAGCTGCACTCGCGGGGCAAGGAGGTTGCTCGAAAACGCGGGGAGAAGTGATGAGAGAGGCTTCAGTTGCCATAGCGACGGAGGGACGCACGCACGAGTCGTTCACGTGCGTGCGTCTCTCCGCTGCGTTGGAAACAAAGAAACAAACAACCGCAACGACAGACCAATCGCAGGTCGAGGAGAAGTGTTCGCGTGCGTTGCATGCCGGTCGCGGACCGGCTGCTTCTATTCTGCAAACATGGCGTCGGTTGTGATCGTCGTCGTAGATTGGCGTGCATCTCATCGTTCTGCGTAAAAGCGCTATCCTTGACTGTGAATTTTCGTTGTGTGTCGCTATGATAACCCAGCACGTACTAGAAGGAAAGATCCACCTACTCGTGCGGCGATGTCGTGGCGGCGCTCTCAAGACGGCAGAAACGCCCGTGTCGTCGTGTTTGTTTACTTCGACTACAGTGGTGATTTCTAAGCATTTGTGTCCTCGAAGATCGCCCGGATTTCTTATTTGGCGCATTTCATGCGTGTACTACTAAAGTTCAAGGTATTACTGGCGCGTACCGTATGAAGGATGCGAATTTTCACGCGTTTTCATCTCCGGAGAAAATTGATTAGGGTTAGCAATCCTGAACACTCGCAACGTCCGTCCGCAACCCGCGACGCCGTTAAAAGGCTGCGCCAGGCAAAAGCCGCTCATTTCTTTCAAAATGTGTGACACACTTGAGACAGAACTGTACTAGTCTGGTGATATAAAGACTTTCCTCAAACTAAGCTTTATTTTTCATCTAACATAAAATAAATTCTTTTACAAAGGTAAGTTGTCTCATGGCATGTATTTTGGCCTGAAAAATTGATGTTTTGGTTATAGTGCGGTACCGCTTATAGTGCGGATTTTCGCGACTCCCGAGACATACGTTATATGCGGTCTACACTGTAGCACACAGATTTACTCATGATCATGACGCAACCTAACCTTGAATCACAAACGAAACATACTGTTTGCGCCGCTTCCAGAGAGGAATTGTTGGAAAGCCGGAATTCTGCTCCATGCCTAATTCTTTTCACAAGTAAAGCCCCTTGGTTTCAAACTGAAGCGCCGATGTAGAACGTACTTGACACACTCACAAAAATCGGCGACTGCAAGATCACAAAAAGAAAACCATGTTAACCACACCGATGAAACCGGCTGAGTTGTCGTCGTCATTCTTTTGGAACTGCAAGCTGCAAATTCTGATATGGAACGAAACGGAACGGAAAAATAGTGTGCCTAGATTTGAGAAGGCTTCCAACCATTCGATAGCCGCGTTTGAATAACAAACTGCGAGAAGGTGTCGAAAAGACGAAAGCGTCAATCGGGCAGGCGTTGTCGCTCTTTAGTTTCCTCGCCTTTCCACGCGACAGCACGACACCTACACACTTACGGCCAATCTGCGCAGGAGCCGTCTTCGGGGTTTCAGTTTTGCTTGCTCCCCCTTTAAAGTCTAGGCTCTCTAAAACAGGATAGATGGAGAGAGGAATGGATGCCTAGCGGCAGTTGGACAATGACTTGTGCCACCTAACCACATGTTTTTTTTTTTCTTACTTCAGATTATATTGTTTCAGCCTGTTTACTAAGATTTAACAGCTATCTGTTTATTTATATAAAATAAAATCCTGGGTGCCCTTTTTCTCCCTACAATTGAGACTAAATATAGAAAAATGCCCCTTTTCTGAGATATATAGATATAAGAAGGACATGGTCGCGGTGTTAGGTCGTGCTTTTAACAAGAAAAAAAGGCACGCGTGGCTGTAATTTCGGGTTTTTTGTGACGCTTAGGGTAGCTAGTAGATTATGTTTGTGCATAAAATTGGATCTTCAGTGCCCAACGTCCATCAGCAGCTGCTTCTTTTCTTCTTTTTTTTTTTTCTTTACCATAACTTTTATACATTTAAGCGTTTGTTCCATACGAGATGCATGTTCTGCACCAGGCGTATATTCTGTACATACCGTAGAATACCACGCATCCGCCCATTCCACATTAAGCACCCATATACAAATTTCTAAGATATGAAAAAATGTGCACAGTACATTTATATGTAAAATTGATGATCGGACAAGCGCCCATCCCCCATTTTTTCGCGATTATCTCTAAATTTTGAGTGGGCACTTGCCCGGAATTTTACGGTATAATAATCTCCTTCACAGCACACTTTGAAAAATTCCTACAAGTAAAATCGCTATTTGATATTCGATTCAATATTCGGCTTTCTTTTCTTAATTCGATTCGGCATTCGATTTTATAACCACTATTCGGTATTCGCACACCCCTAGTTTTTAGTCCAGAGACCAAGTTGAGGGATGGCACTAGCAGATGTGACGATAACTGGACCTGTATTACGAAGAGTTTACAATTGCTTGATACGGGTCACATGGTATACGTGCCAAGTTTTCAAAACGAGCTGTGAGGAGTCGACAAAAACGGTGATGGTCTGCAAATGTCACCGCCTTTCCGCCCGCTTTCCCTTCCCACCACGCGAAAACGTGACACATACGCACTTGCGACCAATCGCCTCAGGAGGCGTCTGCCATTAAATTGCAAACGCTCTCCGTGGTTCAAGATGGACCCTCTCTTCAATCTAGGCTCTCCAACGATAACCTAGAGACTTCCGTGCTTTTGAATTCGGACAAGGTATACTGTAAACAACTTATTTTTCGCGGGCTCAATATTTTGCGATTCAGGTCAAAGTTGAAGTTTTGTAAATATTTGTGGGTTTTAATTTTCGCGACGCAGTGGGATCTCAATATAGATTCAAATGTGTTTACATTTTACCGGAATTATTCGCGGGACATATTTTTCGTGCATTGAAACCGATTCGCGAAAATTAGGTCCACGCGAAAGTTAAGTCGTTTACAGTATAGCATTTTCAATGTTTCTACGTCCTCCAACGCCGAATGTGGCGGGCCATTGGCAACTCCGGACGCACCGCCCGAACAGACATGCTACTTGTGCATCAGGTTTTCATCGTAAAAGCTAGCGCCAATTGGCGTTTCGGCATGTCTCTCATAATTCCGTTTCCGGCAAACGAGGAAGGTGTCCGGTATTTCCCCTCCCCCTCCCCTACTCGCCGACAGAGTGAGAATGGCTGTGCGCGTCTTTTGAAAGGCCAGCCTCCAGCATGACGCGCCTTCCGCCAAGGTCCGGCGGCGAGGAGCGCAGGACGTTGAAGCGTCGTCGAAGGCAGGAAGGTCGTGCCGGAGGGAGGTCGATCGAAGCTTCTTTCTGCCGTGCTCGCCTTCTCAGCCGACTAGAGTAAAGCGTTTGCTAGGCGTCGTCGAGGGAGGAGAACAGTGGGAGAGGGGGAGCGATGGAGTGAGAGGAATGGGGCGTTCCCCTTTGCAGGGCCAGCAGCTTCAGCAGGCGGGGTTGCGACCCGGGGCGCCCGTGCCCCCCGGGTCCAGACCACCCGGTTCGCAGCAGGCGCCAGGGGGTGGCGCATTGCCCCCGGGGCAGGGAGGAGCCCTGCAGAGGCCCGCCTTTGCGCAGACCCTCGCCGGTGGTCCCGTAGCGCCCACACTGGTGAGGGCCCCCCTCCCCACCCCCTCCCCACTCGTCCTCTTCTCCCGCCCCAAGGAAGGGAGCGAGAAAGAGACGCCGCGCTTAAAGCCGCGGTCACGCTGCTCCTATGTCGTGCAAAAGACGCCGTGTTCGCTGCAGACGCGATCGATGACAGCATTGTCTGCTGGCACGTCTCTAGTGTGTCGGAAGCGTGCTTTGTACGCATGCTTGCTTCAAATGTGTCCCCGGACGGTTTTCGGGACGAAGCTCCTTAGGGTCTAGCCTTGTCCGTCCGGCGTCCATGCTCACATCGATTGCCATCCCATCTGTCTTCTCAAGAAAAGAAAAAATGTTTGTGCAGTCGACAGGATTCGAACCTGTGCGGGGAGACCCCGATGGATTTCTAGTCCATCGCCTTAAAGGGGCACTGACCCGAAACGATTGAAAACGATGCCGGGACATTACCCTCAAAATTTGAAATTTGGGAGTTCAGTATTTGTGAAGTAAAAAAACAATTTCCAAATGCCGAATTCGAAGTTCCCGCGCGATCGGCGCCGGTGCCTTGACGTCAAAAATCGCGGAGACCTGAGAGTCGACTTTCTTTCACCACTCCCTGCTGTTGCCATGGCGACCCAAAGCGAGGAGGAAAGGAGTGAGCGGCGGCGTTCCGGCAGACCGGTTTTGAGCGGTGTCGCCTGTTTTCCGTTGGAGGATACAAATCCAGGAGACGGCACCACAACGAACTCCCGATTTTTGGCATTTCAAAAAGAAGGGCCGTAGTGCGTTCGCAATTGCGTTAAAAAACATGTTTTACGATTGCCGTAATTAAATGTTATAGAGATGTCGCCTACAAAGCTTCTAAATTTCCTGATTTTTGACGTCACCGATCAAAAGAAGCGAGGAGGCGAGAGAATCAAACGCCAAAAATAAAAAGGCGCGCGCGCGCGCGCAAGAAAATTTTTTTTCGCGATGCGGTTTTTTTTGCGTGTCTATGACTGCAACTTGCATCGTTTTAGACAATAAAAATAAATACGACCTTTGGGGTGTCAGTGCCCCTTTAACCATTCGGCCACGACTGCGGGACGAGTAAGGCGCTCTGAGATGTGGTAGTAACTCGAGCTGGGGATGTCATGGATGAAACATTGCATGTAGCCGCTCAACGTCTATACAGGAAACGGCACTGCGGTCAAATGCGTATATAATCGCGCTAAGCTTTGCATGCATCGGCTCAGCGTTTATAAACGAGAGGGCGTTGCGGTCAAATGTTCAAATGCGTATATAACTTCGTTCCATACCACACATTCTCTTTCTGACATGGACCGTTGACTTAAGCGGTGGAGATGCGTCCCCACGGCTTCTAGCCGATCCAAGCTGATCCGCTAGAAGAACCACTGGCTCTGCATTTCACTGACCATAAAGCAGTAATGATGAAGTCGAAACGCAACCCGGAACTCAGCACTACCTAGGAGCAATAATAAAAAATCAGCACCATCAGCACTACCTATGAACAAAGTCAGTATCATCAGCATTACCAGAGCTTCACCCACATCGTTCACCGCGTGGAGATGCGGTCATTTTTATTTGTACGACCAACATGACGGGGTTGTCGTACAAGGAAGAAACACACGTTAGACCGCAGACTGTCTTTTCTACGACATGTTAGAGGTGTGACCGTGACTTGAAGGGGCACCAAAGTGAGAGGAATGAGTTTGTCTGTGTGTGGCATGAGGGCCATCTACGCTTCCTAGGTGCCAGTTCACACATTTGTGTTTGAGCATGCTCGATGTGCACCGTACTCGCTGGTGACCGTCTTCGACGAAAGAGCACACTGGTGAACCGGCGATACCTATTGGGTGGCCCTGGAAGACTTCCACTCTCTGTATAACTATAGGCCGAATATTTTGCCAAAGACCAACCTGTTGGTGGGTCCTTGGCTTTACTGAAAGACTATTCTGACCCATGTTAGTTTTCAGGAATAACGAAAGAGTAACTCTTAAAGGGTTGCCTCTGCAGGGCTCATTCCAAAGACATATTTAAATTTATGTGAAAACGTTGCTTATGTGCCTCGGCTACGAGCAGGTGGTGTTTTGCTTTGTGACCTATGCATTTCCTCTGCCTTTGACGTCTCGGCCCAACGTAATGCTCTGTAATATGAGTGCAGCAACCACATCTATGTTTCATTAATCTCCTATGGTTCGAGGTGTCGTTTTTCTTCGCTCTGCATGTGCTGTGATGACTTTGTATTTGCGTGCATAAACGTTTTTGGAGGACCACACATTTCAGAATGGTTTACAGAAACAAAATTTTCCATTTTGTTCCCTAGATGATTGTTATAATTTTCGGACTATACTTTGCACCCGGTGCATTGTCTGCAGTGGCAAATTTGGGATAAAAAATAAAAGGTTTTGCCTAGATAGTTTTTACCCGGCGCATAGTCTGCACGTCGCGCATAGTCCGCACTTAGTGCCTTGTGCGAAAGAAACAATTATCATTCACAGCACACCTTGACAAATGTCTTCTGTATTAGCTCACAAAGAAGCTTGTAACATACGTAAGATATACATCGTTATTTACTAATTCCTTCACGTCTTGTCACAGTGGACATAGAGAAAAACAAGTCCTTGTATAGACCGCACCTGTAAGTAGTCCGCATCGGGTAAAATTTCAACTCTTAAACATGTATAGTGTGCAGACTGTAGTCCGGAAAATATGGTAGTTGTCCCATAGGTTTTGTGGGGATCCGGGGAACGACCTGTTAGCAACGCCAAAAGTGTAGGGAAAATCTCCCCATCTGAACTGGGGATTTAAACACATCCTTCCCTAGTTGACGAGTTGTTTCCTAGATTGCAGGGATCTAGGAAACAACTCATCAGGAAGCTTGAAGTAGCAGGGAATATGACCCAGTCTGAACTGCACTGCACTGAACTGAACTGCACTCAGACATTCTTGCTCGTGTGCAGGGCACTGTGCAGGGAAGGACGTCCCAGCCGTCTCCACCGGTGGCTACTCTGAGCGACCGCGACTTGCAAATGCTGCTGTCGCAGAAGGAGGCGGCCTCTCTGCTGGCCGAAGACCTGCTTGCGCAGTTTACGGGCGACCTTCTGGACGTGCCTAAAGTCACGACCGAAGTGACCACAACGCCCACAGAAGCAGCAGACGGCGCAAGTGTAAAGGGTGGCACAGCCGACGACCTCAAGGAAGGGCTCAAGGTGCGCTCTGAACCAGTCGTGTGTTAATGTTTCATGGAAAAAAAGCCACTCTGTGAAATATCATGTATCTGATATATGATGTTCTATAGGACATCTGATGTACCGTGTTTGCCCGATTTTAACGCACACTTTGTTCTGCCAAAACTGGTGCCCGAAACTACATGCACGTTTCAATCAAAACTAGAAACTGTTACTAAAAGAAACCAATGCAGTACTCAGTATAAGGTGGCCAGCCCCGTCGCTGTCGTTATCGTTTGTTTACGTTCGCCACTTTAGTATCCATATCGCGCACATTCTTTCGCGTCTACGAACTTGATGTCTGCCATTTTAAGATGGAAAAACAAAAGGAATTCCACTAAGAGGCTTTATTTAAACGAAAGCCATCACACTGGCGAGAAAAGATAACAACGGAGCTGCACTCTGCGGCCTTGCAATCTTAGCGACCAGACGAGCTCACTAAGTGTTGTTTGGAAGACGACCCTGCCAGAGGCGACGGTCGCGCACTTGTACAAGCGCAAAAACCGCGGCACCTAAAACGGTTTAAACGAAAGCAAGGATTACCTCTGTGGACTCTGACAAAAGCGACTAGTGCACGGTATTTATTTTTGTGTTGGCATGCATTTCATAAAATCTGTTTTGTAAGGTGTGCTTTCAATCTTCCTCATTTTACCTATGCGCTAAAATCCGCAGCAATTTACTTTTTCAATATCTGGAAGCAAAATCTGCCTGCGCGTTGGAATTGGGGGCGCATTAGAATCGTGCAAACATAATATGTGGCACCCCCTACTGTGTGAAACCTATCGTATAGGGGCAAATGACTCTGACATTTACGCGAAGTAGGGCTCTGTGACATATTGTCTTGTTCTATGTCGCATAGAGTAGGGCCAAGGGGGAAGGTTCTTCCAAAGAAGTGTCACGCTCAGCACTTTTATGCACAAACTTTCCTCTCCTTTCGTCTAAAGAAGTGTATTTGTTGCATTGATTAAGGATAATAGGCTGTGCATCTTAGGGATAATCTTTCTGTAAAAATATAAGGATGCATAAATGCCTTGCTAGAGCACCAGCCTAGTTGTGCGTTGGCCTACTCGGTGAAATTTTGTGTGGAAAAGATATCTTTGAAACGTTGCATATGGGGCGTCCTATGTAACACGTGACATCCGATGTGTTGTGGCATCACACATTTGAAGCATTCAATAGAGTGAGGATTGTCACTCTAATATGACATTTACGTGCAGCCTTTTTTAAGCAGATCTGAACCATCCATTGATGCATAACTGAGCCAAACGCTCTCTAGATGGGCATTATTGTTTACAAAATGTGTAGAAGTCTGCACTGCTTTATCGCATTGATGCCAAGACCGGAAGGGGCTCCTTGAGTTCCATTCAAGGCTGGGCTTTTAGGGACTGGGGAACCCCCAGTCCCTAGGAAACCACGTTGTAGGGGAATGCATTCTGCCTGCACCTTGTTAGGGGCACTGAAGTTAGTTCGAGGCTCGTTCCTGCCTCCAGGTGGGTGCGGCGGCCGTGTCGGAGCGGCTGCTGGCCCTGTCGTCTGCTAGTCAGCCCCGGCCGGGGGCCATCTCGATAGCTCTGTCGGCGTCCCAAATCCTGGAAGGATGTGCGGAGGTGGCCAAGGCGGGGGGCGCCTTCCCCCTCAACCTGCTCACGGACGACCCTTCCCCTCCGAGGCCCCCCGACGCCCCTTCGCCCCCGCCATCCAAGGACCAGCTGCTCCCGCAGACCCCCAGCGTGTTTGTGAGTCAGCGTTTCCCTTTCTCAAACGGTGGAGCTTGGCATGCCGTTGAGTGTCGTATAAAGCCGCCGCTCTGGCTGCCGAGGTGCTTCTCTCATCCGGTTTAGGTTTGAGGATAGGCAACTTGTTGAAATCTTTTGCAAGGTTTTTTGGCTATAAAGCACAGAAATTGTCATGAACACAAATAGCGCTGTGGACAAGAGTTATGGACAAGGATTACGAACAAGGGTTACAGACAAGAGCTATGGAGTAGCTGGCACTGCACAAACAGTGGCAACATCTCTAAAAATTTGTTTATTAAAGAAGGAGGGCAAGGACAAGTAGAAGTGAGGGGAACAAGTGCTGTGCTATTTGCATTGTTGGATATGTTTACCCCTCGAGCCCAGCAGTTTGTAATGTCACAGAAATTGTATCTGACGAACTCCTCCGGATGCAATGTGTGATGATGCTGTATGGTAGTTTGCGATATTCCTTCATCATCCTTTTCTTTTTCTCACACGGGCTAGAGTAAAGGTACTTTAGAAACCATGTGACATCTGGCATCGCCAAAAGTTTTGATAACAAAAGAAAAATTTTGACAACACAATAACATGGTCAGCAGAATTGTTGGCTTCCGAGGGCAGCTTATCTAAGTTTTCACCTTTTATTCTGAAAATTGGTGATCTGACTGAAACGACACACATCTACATAAGTGGTCCACCTCAGGTCTGAACTCTAATACATGTATTTTGACTGGTGTAAGGTTTCATAGCATGTTCTGAAACAATCTACGTAAGTGGTCCGCCTCGAGTCTGAACTCTACCGGTTCACATCCTTCTGTTATTATTGGATGTGTATATATAACTATTGTGGCAAAACATGTGAATGATTATTGATTGGTGCAGTTGGAGAACAAGAAGCAGGCCTTCTCACCTCAGCTGCAGGAGTTCTGCGTGGCGCACCCCATTGCAGTGATTCGGAATATGGCCAATGTCCTCAAACTTGGTGAGTTGCTCGCTAGCATTGCTTGTCTATCCATGCAACTTTCTGCTGAACCACTTGGATTGTTTATCTTTTCATACAATGTGCGGCCCAATTGCCTAGTTGTTCGTCTTTTGATGCAACTGTCGGAAGAATCCCACTCATTGTTTGTCTTTCCATGGAACTTTCTTCCGAATCCCTTTTATTTTTCATTTTTTTCTTAAAACTTCTTGTTGAATCACTTGCATTGTGCGTTTTTCGGTGGCGGTTTCAGCCAGATCATTTGCGTTGTTTGTCTTTCCATGGTACTTTTGACCAAATCACTTATATTGTTTATCTTCACATGCAACTTGCTGCCGAATCACTTGCATTGTTTTTTTCTTTTCATACAACTTTGAGCAATATCACTTGCATTGCTTGTCTTCTCATGCATATTTTTGCTGAATTACTAATTCCATCTGTCTCTAGTTTGAGAAATGGCAACATTATTTGTTTTGTTTTTGTTTTCCCTCAGATCTTGGCCTCTTCTCCACAAAGACCCTTGTGGAGGCAAATCCAGATCATACAATAGAGGTTCGCACACAGGTATGCTTCTCTTTGCAAGCTTCTTCGTGACGAGCTACAATTGTTTTCAAACTTTTGAGCAAGACAGTACTACATACTTCACAGATATCGCAAGAGTACAGAGGCCACGACGTCAAAGACTGTAGTTTGCTGTTTTCAAGACAAAGTTCATGCTTACGATTGATTTCAGTTTAGTTTAGCCTGGCCATTCAGCATGTTTTGACATGACAATATATATAATTGGAGGGTCAGAAAAGTTTTTATCAGGAACATGCCGAAAATGTCCTCCTTTCGATTGTTAATATGCAATTCTGCATGCAGAAAAAGGGGGAAGACGCTTGAAATGTAAGTGAAATTAACCGTGTATTGTGTGTTTGAGAAGTGGCATGTAAAGTTATTTCTTAAAAAAAAAAATAGTGTCTAACGAGAAATAAAAAAAGATTTGGCTGGGCTTACATTTTTTTAGTGGAATCGGCTGGAATGCTAGGTACTTCCGGCCTTCTCAGCCGGTCATACGACCAGGAGATCTCCCTCGCAGTTATTTCAGCCGCCGAGAGAGATAGCCTCATCAATCAGCAAATCGGTTCAGGGGTAACAGAAGTAGTGTTGCTTGCAAACTGACATATCAATGAAGTAAACAAACAGGAAGAGAATTTTCTTATTTCTCGACGGTTTTTGCGTTGCTTTTGCAGCTGATGCAGTCGCCGGACGAGAACTGGGACGCCGAACGTCGTAACATGGTGTGGCGGTGCGAAAGTCACCGGTCGCACACGAGCATTGCGCGGTACGCCCAGTACCAGGCTTCGTCCTTCCAGGAGTCGCTCAAGGTGAGCCACACATTGCCACTTATTCGACTCAAAATCAAGCATTGGCATGTGCAAGACTACAAAGCGTACGCCAGCACTTGGGGCCCTTTAATGCAGCTATCTTAACTAACTTTTATGGTCACATTTACAGTTGTCTGGAGTGTAACATAAAAAAGTGAAAGCCGTTTACAACTCCCTGTAACACCGAATTAGAGCGCAGCTCTTGAGGAGGAGGAGAGAAGGGTACTGGGGGGGTGAAGCGACGATGCCGATGATGTCATCAGTGACGTCACTGATGACATCATCAGTGACGATGACGATGCGGACTCCGATGACGTCATCCGTGATGATGACGATGCGGATGCCGGTGACATCATCAGTGATGATGACGATGCGGATGCCGGTGAGGTCATCAGTGATGATGACGATGCGGATGCCGGTGACGTCATCAGTGATGATGACGTCATCGGGGAGGTCACGTGACCTCGGCGGGGGGGGGGGGGGGGGGTCACTTGACCCTGGGGGTAGTCACGTGACCCTTGACGTCACGTGACCTTGGGGGTCGCGTGACCTTGGGGGTCGCGTGACCTTGGGGTGACCTCGGGGGTCACGTGACTTTGGGTGTCACATGACCTTGGGGGTCATGTGACCCTGGGATGACCTTGGGGGTCGCGTGACCTTGGGGTGACCTTGGTGACGCCGCTCAAGCCAGGAACGGGCCCCTAAGAGCTGCGCTCTAAAAAATGTGTGCACAAACGAGACATGCAAGTGGGGGACTGCGATCGGCGGAGCAACATTTTTAACAGTTTGCGCCGCCTGCAGCCGCTAAGTTACGCTTCAACGTAACTTCACCCCATCTAAAGCGCTCGTTCTGCCAAGCCTCCTATTGACACTTAACTATGTGCCAAAGACACCCTTGTATGGGCATTACTGTTTACGAGGTCTGTAATCGTCTTATTACTTCATTGCATGAATGTCGAGACCAAGAGGGGTTTTCTTGTCTATCAGTCGATAGATATTCCTCGAGGTATGAAAGTTTAAAGCGTAGCTCTAAGCATAGCTATACGAATGTGATTGCTTTGTTGTTACAGCGATGGTTGTTCTGGTTTCTTCCCACCACCGAAAATGACGTCCATTGTTGCCGTTGTTGATGTTGTTGGCGTTACAGTTTGCGATGTAGGGCGTCCGTCGTCAACGTTTTGAAATCCTCAAAAAAGATTGCCCGCTGCCCGCAAGAATCGAACCTGGGTCCGCTGAGCACGAATCTGAGACGTTACCACTGAGCTACGCTACAGCGTTAATAACCCACTCTGTAGTACTTTGGGTTTTTGGGGCGAAGCTCCTTAGGGTCTAGCCTTGTCCATCCGGCGTCCGTGCTCGCATCGATTGCCAACCCATCTGTCTTTTTAAAAAAAGAAAAAAATGTTTGCGCAGTCAACAGGATTCAAACTTGTGCGGGGAGACCCCAATGGATTTCTAGTCCATCGCCTTAACCACTCGGCCACGACTGTGGGATGAGTAGGGGGCTCTGAGATGTGGTAGTAACTCAAGAGCTGGGGATGTCATGGATGAAACGTTGCATGTAGCCGCTCAACGTCTATACAGGAGAGGGCGCTGCGGTCAAATGCGTATATAATCGCGTTAAACTTTGCATGCATTGGCTCAACGTTTATAGACGAGAGGGCGCTGCGGTCAAATGCTCAAATGCATATATAACCACGTTCCATACCACACATTCCACGCCTATGCAACCCGGAACTCAGCACTACCTTTGAGCAATAAAAAACAATCAGCACCATCAGCACTACCTATGAACAAAATCGGTATCATCAGCACCACCAGAGCTTCGCCCCAATCAGCATCATTCACAACGTGGAGATGCGGTCATTTTTCTTGTAGTATTCAACAACCACTGCACACGCTCTCTAAAAAAAAAAAAAAAAAAAAAAAAAAAATAGCTGATAACGAGAGGTTGTTGTAGCACTGTCAGTGCCAAGACCTCGCTCGTGCTGGGTGACACACTTTCACTTGAACAAAAAAATATAAGCATTCAGAATGTAAAGTACTTGATGGGCACTGCACGTGCTCTTTGGAAAAATACAGAGAAATAGCTGATAACAAAATGCCGTTGTAGCACTTTCAATGCCACGAGCTCATGCCAGAAACAAGCATGGAAAAATACAGAGAAATAGCTGGTAACAAAATGCCTTTGTAGCACTGTCCATGCCACGAGCTCATGCCGGAAACAAGCATGGAAAAATACAGAGAAATAGCTGATAACAAAGTGCCGTTGTTGCACTTTCAATGCCACGAGCTCATGCCGGAAACAAGCATGGAAAGATACAGAGAAATAGCTGATAACAATATGAATTCGTAGCACTGTCCATGCCACGAGCTCATGCTGGAAACAAGCATGGAAAAATACAGAGAAATAGCTGATAACAAAATGCCGTTGTAGCACTTTCAATGCCACAAGCTCATGCCGGAAACAAGCATGGAAAGATACAGAGAAATAGCTGATAACAATATGAATTCGTAGCACTGTCCATGCCACGAGCTCATGCTGGAAACAAGCATGGAAAAATACAGAGAAATAGCTGATAACAAAATTCCGTTGTAGCACTTTCAATGCCACGAGCTCATGCTGGAAACAAGCATGGAAAGATACAGAGAAATAGCTGATAATTATATGAATTCGTAGCACTGTCCATGCCACGAGCTCATGCTGGAAACAAGCATGGAAAAATACAGAGAAATAGCTGATAACAAAATGCCGTTGTAGCACTTTCAATGCCACGAGCTCATGCCAGAAACAAGCATGGAAAAATACAGAGAAATAGCTGGTAACAAAATGCCTTTGTAGCACTGTCCATGCCACGAGCTCATGCCGGAAACAAGCATGGAAAAATACAGAGAAATAGCTGATAACAAAGTGCCGTTGTTGCACTTTCAATGCCACAAGCTCATGCCGGAAACAAGCATGGAAAGATACAGAGAATTAGCTGATAACAATATGAATTCGTAGCACTGTCCATGCCACGAGCTCATGCTGGAAACAAGCATGGAAAAATACAGAGAAATAGCTGATAACAAAATGCCATCGTAACACTGTTAATACCAAGAGCTCATGCCGGAAACAAGAAAAGTAAAGCGTTTGTGACAAAACGGTCAGATGCCCATTTTGCTCCAAATGCTTTTGTTCAGGCACCCCAAGGTGCGTGAAGGCAACGCCAACGGTTAACAACTTTACCGTGATGTGCAGCAGCTACCGCTGTGACTCTACTGCAGATTAACATGGGACTGCTAAATTTTCTAACTTGAGGTCGCACGTCACCCCTTTCCCGCGGTGCAGGAGGAGCAAGAGAAGGTGCAGGGAGTCCAGCGGGAGTCGGATAGCGACTCCAACTCCTCCCTCCCGTCCCGCCTGGGTGGCGGCGGGGGCTCTGGCAGCGGGGGCAGCGGCGGCAAGCGCTGGAAGCGGAGCGCCCACTTCAAGACCATCAAGTTCGGCACCAACGTGGACCTGTCGGACGAGCGCAAGTGGCGCCCCCAGCTGCAGGAGCTGACCAAGCTGCCGGCCTTTGCCCGCGTGGTGTCGGCGGGCAACATGCTGAGCCACGTGGGGCACACGATCCTGGGCATGAACACGGTGCAGCTGTACATGAAGGTGCCCGGCAGCCGCACCCCGGGCCACCAGGAGAACAACAACTTCTGCTCGGTGAACATCAACATTGGGCCCGGAGACTGCGAGTGGTTTGCCACGCCCGAGGAGTACTGGGGGGTGGTGCACAGCCTGTGCGAGCGGAACAACATCAACTACCTCCACGGTGGGTGGCCTCGTCTGCATATAGACTGTTTATACTTAGTGTTTTAACAGGAATATATTGTCGCGGATGGAACAAGGTCGATGGGCGTAAGACTGAAAATAAAGGTTTAATCTGCAAACTTGCACTAGAAACAAAAGAAAGAATGAGCATCGAGAAAATGGCAGCGAGCGTCGAGGTTTCGGCGTGACAGCTGGTTGGTACGAGAGTGAGTCGGCAAGGCCACGCTGGGCCCCTTATCTGCTACGCTCGGTACCTCAAATAATCTAGGCCAAATTTTCGAGCGCTGAACCTTTGCCGTAAGAGTAAGCACGAACCTCCTAAAACTATGGAGTAGCTTTTCTTTTCAGCCACGCATGCGGCAATATATGTGTGACCTATTATTAAAGGGGCACAAGGAGAGGCCCTGATCTTGGAGAGTGATAAATTACAGAAAACAACGTTTTAAAACACTGTTTTCCTTGATGTGTAAGTCACATACGACATGTTCTAATTACCACATTCAGAAAGTGCACAAGAGGTCTTGAAAATCTTTTCCTGTCCTCTCAGATTTAATTTTTTTCTCACAATGCAAAGTTTTGCTCACAAATCTTTGGGTCTGGTATGTGGATCCAAATGCTTTTTTCAGAGTAGGATACCTAATCAGAAAGTTAAATGAGACTAAAATGTCTGGAAAAAGCTTGATACAAAATTTCCTAATTGGCATATATTGACTCTTTCTAATTATCAGTACAAGGTTTTTAACACGACAGCTTTTTTTAGAAAGCTGCTAAAATGATAATACTTGTTTTGTTTTACTGTCTACTGCTTGTAGAGCACGCAGACATACTTGTGACAGTTTTTGAGGGGGGTATTGTGAAGAAGCTAGGCAGAAACGTGATAAAGTAGAGGTGTTCTTAAAATCTATAATAGATGGGAAGAACCTTGGCTTCTATTTGTGCTTGGCTGAACAATTTGCAGAGAGTGTAAGAATCTAACATAAATTGTATGAGAATTGACATTATATTGTTCAAGACAAAAGTTTCCCCTGATATGCCATTTGAGTTTATTTACTCCATTCATACACACTAAGTGTCCATAAAAATGGAGTTATGACGATGCGACGCCTTTTCCCCAATAAAAACACGACCAAACGTCAAGAAATACCCTTTTCCCGATATATATCTGGGAAAAAGGGTGTGTTGCTCCGTTCAATCGCATTTTAATGAGAATTAATCATGGTCCCGATCCGTCGTGCAGGGTCTTGGTGGCCGCTGATGGAGGACATGATGGCCGCCAGGGTGCCCGTGTACCGGTTCCTGCAGCGGCCGGGTGACCTGGTCTGGGTCAACGCGGGCACGGTGCACTGGGTGCAGGCGGTGGGCTGGTGCAACAACATCGCCTGGAACGTGGGGCCCCTCAACGCCAGCCAGTTCCGGCTGGGGCTGGAGCGCTACGAGTGGAACAAGTTGCAGAGCTTCAAGTCCATCGTGCCCATGGTCCACCTCTCCTGGAACTTGGCGCGCAACATTAAGGTCTCCGAGCCGCAACTCTTCGAGCTCATCAAGTGAGTCGGGCCCCGGCGCTGGCTTCATTCATTTAGTACGGCGACGTGCCACTTTCGCGATGTATTTTGAGATTCTGCTTTAATGCGAAAGCAGTAACTGTCCCATGGGGCGAACCGTCATCATCAGCTTTTGAAGCCGCGAAAAATGGCGCCTAAATTCCCCTGTTCTATGGAGTGAAGCGAGTAGTCTGTAGCAGCGAAACAAGGAATAAATTTCCATTGGCTGCGATGCGTCATATCAGATGTTTCGTCCTAGAAGCCGCCGGGACCGATCAAACTCAAAGCAGACGCGCCTGAGAAGAAATAAAACAAAGAAAAGCACAGCAACGCAGATGCATGGTCACGGGAGCCGTGGAGACGGGTAGGGGCGCCGCGCCTGCGCATTGGTGGAGCATGATGTCACCACTGGAGCGTAGTGTGAAAAAGGAAGACGTGGCACGCTGCTTGTAAAAATGCTTGTGTGTATGAATGCTTTCGCATTCCTACACGTAAGCAATCTTGAATGTCTTCCCCAAATTTTTTTTTTTTTTGTGCAAATCTAATTTGCAGTATTTGAGCATCCTAGAAAACCAGACATACTGATCATGGATGGCCTTTTTACCCTATTAGAAATGCGATGAGACATTGCAGCACGCCCCTTTTTCTGGGACGTACCTGAGAAAAGGGACGTAAAGTGATGCTTGGTCACGCCATGAGGTAGTAAGGCCGCAGACAATTGTAATTCATTTGCCCGCTGGCAGACAGAGGTAATGACAACGTCTTGCAAAGCATGTAGCTGGTTTCGAAAAAAATTAACTTATAATAACAAAGTCATTTGCTTCCTTAGATACTGAGAATTGGTATAAAAAAAAGCATAGAGGATACTACTTTGCATTTATGACCCATAGATGGTTGTGTTCCGAGCCTTGCTCGAGCTCCTCCTGGTTTTTCTTGTGGGTCACACCATGTGGTAACACAAATATGGCGATGCTGGATGCGAGCGGGCTTTCGAATGCCAAGGTACAAGGACCTTACTTAGGAGTGAGAATGAGTCAATTTTTGAGCACGGCCCAAGTGTCGGCACAAGAGAGAAGCTCACTCCCCGGAGCCTGTTGAAATTTCTGTTGCCGCTCTATTAATATGACTTGTATCAGACTGATCAATGCTACCTTTATGTCGGGTGACGTGCAATCGTGCCCGATTGCACGTTAAAGACCCCTGGCTATCGCTGGTGCTGCACTGGCTACATTTCTCATCTAAAGCATAAACCAGTGTTGTCGCACCTCAAAGGCAGATGAACCTTACGCCCAGTTTGCCTTTTTCTTTCCCACCCGCCACCCCTGCATGACGAGGGGTCCTACCTCGTGGTTTTCCCCGTGGGGCATGTATTCTTTTGTGACAGCGGCTTCTGTGGCCAGATCGGGTCTCCCGCTGCTGTCCTTAGCATGTCCACAAATACACTTCTCTATTATGAAAAGTTGGCTTTTTTGGGGATTGAAGGATGTGAGGTTTTCTCTGAAACTGTGAAACGGCAGTCCTGCCCTTTCGATGCTGGTCCATGGACGCCCCTTTCTCACAAATCTCCGGGTTGTGCCCTTGGTCCCGACAACGTCCAGGTACTGCCTGCTGCGGACGCTGAGACACTGTCAAATCATTGTGGAGTTTGTCAAGAGCCTGGGCAAGGAAATCCGCTGGCATGGCCGGGGCAAGAACGAGATTGCCCACTACTGTGCCACATGCGAGGTGAGCCGGACGACCTCTTTGCAGCCCCGTTTTTATTCGTCCCTTTGTTTGTTTATTTTATGCACTCTCAAACAGCCCATGCCTCGGTGTTGATGCACAACAGGTAGACAGGAGTTTAGTAAACAAACTGCCTGTCTCTTTGGTATATCCCATAGGCTGTCCAAATGCATAGCATTGCGACGTCAAAGTGTCACGTTATGGGGCCACGTGAGGCCATGGTGTTACTTGACAGACGGGGTTGCGTGATGCATGGGGCCACGTGGTGTTATATCATGTCGCATCATGGTGTTGCGCAACATTATGTCGCATGACGACGCGACGCGACACCACGACGTTCCAGCGTCACGTGACAAGATGTCGCGTGATAACATGTAATGTTGTGATGTCACTGTCATGGCTACATGATGGCATCAAAAAGCATTTTAACTACTACAAAATTTGAGTTAAAAATGTCAATATTTCCGGCACCAAAGGTGTTACACAACTGTTGCGTGCGAGTCACGAACTCAATGGGATTTTTTCTGTAATCTTAAACGACAGATTTACCGTATTTACTCCCATAATGAATGCACTCGCATAATGAATGCACCCCCCACAATGCACATCAATATTTTGACTTTTTTTTTTTCTCGGGTAACGAACGCACTTCCGACTTTTGGCTCCGCAAGTTTCGAACTGCGTCCAACTTAGCTAGCCACCAAACCAATTTTTTTTGCTGCCATGCGGCCAGGCCAAGTCAAGCCAAGCCAAGGCAAGCCAGGCCACTCTCGTAATGGCTGCAAGTGCGTAGTTGCGGAAGTGATTAACCGTGGAGCCGAGCGGCACGCACACCTAACGAAGCTGGGGTCGAGGAATTGCCCAGCCCCGACATGCTTGTCCGTCGGATGCATTGATGTCAACAAACACGCTGTTGTTCGTGGTCTGCTTTCAGACAGTGAGTGAAAGTGGTTAGGCCTAAAAACGGTCGCGTCAGTCTCCGTGCTGAGTAAACTTCGTAGGGCGCTTTTCCTTCAGCGAAAGGCACGCCAAAAGCGCCCTAAAAAAGGTTCACAATTTATAGAGCATGGTTACTGTGGCGCACCCAGGACCAACCCTGGGAGCGCATCCGTCAGTGGGGACATGCCTCATCACCCTGTCATGTCATATTGGCACCTCAAATGACATTTGTACAAAGTATGGAAATGCACAAATTTTTCCCCGCGTAATGAACACACCCTCCAAATATGTGTCAATTTCTCGGGAAAAAAAGTCTGTGCATTATGCGAGCAAGTACGGTAAGTGTCTTATATTTCACAGTAACCTACTTTCTGGGAATTGAGACTGATGAAGGCAAAACATGTCTCGCGAATAAATCGGCCATGGCTGGCATCCATGGACAGGCTCACCCTCAAACACAAAATTTTATTTTTGCAAAATAAATGCATCATAAAGCAAACTTGCAAAAATACTGTGAAATATCCAGCCTGCAAATGTATGATTGTTCACAGTACACTTCTGCACTGTCGAGGTTAGCTTAGGTAATGGGCCTTTTTTTTCCAGTGTAAGCCTCTGCACATGCGTACATCCTCTCCCCTGGCCTTGTTTCCCACTGCTGCCATTATCAGAAAGCACGACAAGCATTGTCAGCACCCATCTTTGCACGTATTTCGTCTTTTTGGGCGATTCTTTTTTAAGCATCGGTAATATGGAGCATAAAAATCAATAAAAACCGATACAACTGCAAGATGCCAACGTGTTTTGATGGGCCACCCTTCACTTGTAGTTCGCAGACCACACACCCAGACGGTGCATGTGTACTTGAAAAAGGTTCATTCTCAAGCTTTGTCAGCCTTCGACATAGAAAGTGGAGAGCACTTGCCGAGAGCACAGGCCGATTGAGTATAGAGAATGTATCGCAACTGAACCCTGTATCGACAATAATCGTTGTGAGTCATCTCTGAAACAAAACTTTGGACTTGGAGTTTAGCACAGCATTCTTCTGCTCATTGTTTACAGGGCTATTCAAAAAAGAGCAGATTTGAAATTTTATTTCAAGCAAACTGTATGAGAGAGAAACACATTCTGCTTATCACTGGATAGAGGAAGGTTCGAAGCCTTCTTCGCAATGAACCTCCGTCAGACTGCGGGCTCTTTGTCAAGGATTCAAACCCACCACCTTGAAATTCAAACCCGTATATTCTTCACATTTACAACAAAGAACAATTGCTTCATTGCGTGTGTCTGTCATTCACAATGTTTTTTGGCGTTCCCTTTTGTGTTGACGCCCACCTTCTCACGTGCAGGTGGAGGTGTTCAACATCCTGTTTGTGAAGGAGGTGGACAAGAAGCATGTGGTGCACTGCCTGGACTGCAGCCGGCGCATGAGCCAGCGCCTTGAGGGCTTTGTCATCCTCGAAGAGTACTCAATCGAGGACCTCATGGAGGTCTACGACAGCTTCGCCCTGCAGCCGGTGAGTGCCTCCCGCGTGTCACTCGAAGGCGCGCTCGAGAGCTTCTCGAATCCGTCTTTTTATGCCGTTCACTGGACCTATGTGCTTGAAACAGGAGCTCTCAAACTTTTAACGCAGAATCTGTTATACGGCTGGCCCCTAACCATTTCCAGTTGTTACTCCGGTGACATATCGGGTCACATCACGCGATTGGTTGTAAAGCAACGCTAGCAACATGCTCTGCTCCTAGCACACGCTACACGAGCTAGCTCCGAGCTTCTCTGGTGTCGGCTGCCTCGAGTGACCCTTCTCAGCCTCGACATTGATGCGGTGAAACGGCGCAGGACCCTCTAGACCAGGGGTGGCCAAGCTGCGGCTCTTCGCGTGTTAAAGTGCGGCTCGCAGCTCCCTCCCCTACCCACCCCTCCGAATCCCCCGCCTCCCTCCCGGTCACACGAGCACCTCCCCAAAAAGAGAAATGGAAAGCGTTTTAAATCGAAAGGCAGGTTGCGGTTTGGTAGTCTTGTGCTACTCCTACCTTATGTACAGTTGGACTGCTTTTGACTCGAATGGTTTGAAAGTAGTTCTAGTTTCGTTTATTGCTCTGGACAAAAATTGCCCCCCCCCCCCCCCCTTCCCGCGGCTCTTGGAAGTTTCGTGGTTTTGTTTGCAACTCATACGCCGGGTCAACTTGGCCACCCGTGCTCTAGACCTTGCGTGCAGTAATGCCTATACAGGCTATACATGCATCAGTGGGTGGCTGAGACTAACTGCAACAATATTGGGTAGGAATGTTTCTCACTTTACACCAGTTTACTGGCACTAGTGCAACCCAAGAATATTCAAACGCAACAACCGAGCAGCGCCTTCGTCGCAGTAAAAATTCCAAGGATAGAAGCGGATCTTTTCTTTCGATTTCTCCTTCGCAAAACGTCACGACGAAGATGCAACGACGCCAACAATGCGATCTCCGAGAGTGCGTATGTCGAGGAATAATTCTAAGCTGTATTTATGGTCAGCACAAAAGTTGTTGCATTGCCGGTTTAAAGGGACACTGACAGAATATTTATGCTCGCCAAGGTTTTTAGTTGTACGCGACATATGAGAGCCCAACTACCCAGAACAGAACTTGCGGCTCAAAACTCGGTTTCTTTCCACCCGAAACCCGCCGATCGAAAACTGGCCGGTTTGAGTCGCGCTACCTCTCTTTTCCGTGGTCACGGGCCGTTTTCTAAGGACTCAATGCGACCACCAAATTTAATCAGTCAAAAGCACACAGTCAATATTAAAAATAAAAACAAATATGAAACCCATTTCTTGTGGCTTCCAAAAAGCTGCAAATACGTTGATTGAAAAAAAAAAGGTTGCACAGGTAACCGGAAGCATTTTTTGCATTCACTGCATAATTCTTAAAATGGCCTCGTTTCGCGTATCGTGGGACTAGCGCTTGGACTAGCGGAGTGCAGTGGGCGACGGGCGTGGGACCTCTACTTCAGAACTGTCATTCACAGTACCGGCGAATTCTGTCTTCCTTCAAAAGAGAAATATTGGACCGATCAAAAGAATTGATATTCATCCCGTACGACACGCCCGACCAGCAACCCAATTGCACGGAGACGTCGCCGAGCCGTCGTCCCTTCTCGTGGCTGAAGACATCGCTCGCTCAAACGTCAAGCACGAAGTGCATACTTCGAGTTGAATACGCACGCGATGGTTTCTCTACTAGGTGCGAATGTGGCCAATGCGTGGTGCTGCCCAACTTCAAGCTGGGAGTGCATGTACTGGAAGGAAATTGGCAGCAAACTTTCCGACATATTGTCGATTGGCTGCATTACTACAATTGAAATAGTTCCTTCAGTAGCTCAGTGGAAAAACACCTGCTTCACACGCAGCGGGCACGGATACAATCCCTAATGTGGGCGTACCTTTTGTTTTGTCAATCATTTTGCAATGTTTACATTTATTTTTTTTACAATTATCACTGAAAAAAAAAATTGTTGTGGACGATACGTCGCTGAACTAAATGGTATGGGATTTCATTTTTGACACCTGCGAACTCAATGTAGTCACTTTCCGCAAAATGCAAGGAGCATATGAATCGGGTAGCATCCGCTTTCCGAGGTTCCCGTAATTGTTCTACAGGAATTGCAGCCAGCCATTGATCCCGATCCGTTGATCTTTCGGAAACTTATGCACTCTGCCGCACAATGCCATTTCCAGATGTAGGACATGCGAGGCAGCTCTTCACGCAACATCTTGGGAGTATTCTTTTCGGAGCCGATCACGGAAATTCACCACGGGCACTCACTACTATGATTTGCCAACACTTGAATGTACAAAACAACTCATCTCGTGTTACAGAACAGCGAGCGGAACAAACATAACTGCAAAGGAATCGCACGGCAAACAGATCCCGCAACGCATTTCGTCTGCTGCGTGCGGAAAAAAAAAAAAAATTGCACGGTCAAGTGTAGCCACGTGACTTCCGCCACTCACTCTGTCTTCACTACTTCTCCGTGCAGTGTGGAGGTTTCGGTTTTGCAAATGGGCGCGCACATGGGACGATTATGACGTTAAAGGGGTAAACGAAGACATCTAGATGCGTGCAAACCAACTTCGAACGTATGAAACGGAGAGTAACCTCACTCGCTCGCTCGGCGCAGATGGTTTGTTCTATTTAGCTTTGTGGAACAACCAACATCAATAGAAAAATAATTTTAAAAGGTTTTGTTGCTCGGTTGTATCGATAGTCGAGGGCTTTGGGGGACGTCTGCCGCACTCGCTCGTAGCCCCTCATGACGAGAGGACATACTGCAGCCATCCATCGAGTGGCTCCGGAATACTTCCAGCCCGCATATATATATTATCATTTTCACGCATCATTTCTTCGCCATGGGCTCATTATATTTCGGTCAATGTTGTAAGCAACTATTTTTCCTATATAGTGCGCAGACATGATATCGCACATACTCCAAAACCTTTGGTCTAGTTATACACAGTTCCAGGGCTACCAGGGCCACCGATAAATGGTGCCAGTGATTTCTCTTTATTACAGGGCAACGCGACACACTCGAGCACGGTAAAAGGCAAACATGCGAATCGGCCTTGAAGGTGCACACGAGAGATTTTTGAATCGGCCAACATATTCGAACATTCTTTGCTTCACGGCTTAGGGGAGCTCCTCCCCTATGCTTCGGCGTCGTTTGCCTCGTAGGAAGCCGATCGGCCAACAGATGCTCTTCGTCGCCGCAGCGCGGCGGGCTGTGGCTCAAGTTTAGCCGACGGGCACTCCTGTTGGTCGATCGCCGCAGTGCATTCTTCTCTAAACTGCAAGGCGCAAACATTTGGTTGCGTCTGTAATAAAAAGATACAGTCGCCGACTGATTTTTTGGACTCTTAAGGGACCCCCAGATTGTCCAAATAATCAAGCAGTTCAAAAAAACAATTTCAGCCACAATATCAAATTTTCATGCCACTCAGGTTCGTACTGGCCACTTGCTTCGCTTCATGTCAATATTAAATTCTCGTGCAACTTCGGCTGCATGTTGGTCACTTCACGTGTTTGTTGATGTGGTTGATCATGGTGCCATGCTTTGTTGGCACCTTCGTTGTTGCACACAGTAAATATGAAGTTGGCGCCATTTGGCACTGTTTAGAGACAATGTTTAGCCCGCCCAGCTTACTTCAATACCGTGTGACAGAAAACTCGACTCAAACACTCATTTAAACAGCACAAGAATCTGATCTTCTTATGGTCACCTCGAAAAACGCAACATAAAATGAACAAACGGTGGCTATGTTGGCCACCGTTTCGGGCCAACATAATCGGGCCATCACAGCCCGATTATAACCTCAATTCAGCTTTTTTACTGCATAGTATGTGGTATCGAGGCTGTAAGTCAGAACAGAAAAACCAACATAGCAGTGATTAAACTCGCAGCATTATCACGGTGGCTGTTTCGTGGCTGTAAACAAAAGAAATCGCGCAGATTGTGTCTGAAATATCGAGCAACAAGCTTTATGGTGTTCCAAATTTCGGTCATTGTTATACATTAACTCTGTGCGGTAAGTGACGGTTCAGCGAAAACATTTTAATAATTGGACATGTCCGAAATAGCGGTGTCCGAAAAATCGGTCGGCGACTGTACACCGCGCCCGATGTAACGTCGGGTTTTTCGACGAGACTGGCGTACAAAAAACGTAGCAACCGAGAAAACATATCAACTGGTACTGAGACATCTCCTCTCAAAAAGCCCGTTTCTTCTCTCCCAAACAGGCGACGGTCCCTTCAACTACCACGTGACAGTCAAGTGGGGCGTGAGAATCAGCGGCGACGACCAGACAGTGTGCCGTGCCTTTGAGCGTCGAGACGCCACGCTCAATCGGCAACGACGCGGGAAGCCCTCGCGGGTGTGCCACAGACGGACACTAGCCGATCGCGATCGGCGACGCGACTTCCCCGAGGGCCGTTGTTGTTGTTGTTACTGGCAGGCACGTGCGTAGTCTCGGTCTGCCGCAGCAAGGGCTCAGATAGATGCTTCTGTAAAGTCCGGCAGAAAGATGTATTGAGTGCTGGTGTACATAGCAAGAACGTTCGCCTGTCTTGGCATTTCGATCGTGAAAGACTCGTGTTTGTTGGCGAGAGGATGTCGTCGAGCGATGGTGGCAATTTAATTCATACATTGTTTTCTTTTTTTTATAGATATGTCAGACATGGATAAGGCGGACGAAATTGTCGAGGCAATGCCGCAAATTTGAGACAAATGTGGGGAAAAAAAAGCTGTCTTTTTTTTTCTTTTTATAGGTTTGCGCTCTATTATTATACAGACTACCCTGAATGTTTTCCAATTGGTAACTTATTGAAAAAAAAAGAAGAGAGAAACGGGATTTTAAATTGAGCGTCTTGTCGCAACACTAATCTCAATGCGGACTCTGCAGTCCGGCTTCCGTTACCCAGCGGGTATTCGTCACCAGTAATTCTAAACCTCTGTAGCGATTATATATATATATATGCGCGAGAATATAGTACACACGCTCCGAGGATTAACGAAGGTATCCGTAGAACTCTCCATTTTCATATGCTGCCGGAATTCGTTCGTGCACGTAGATATCCATTACTTCTTTTTTTTTTTGCCTTTGAAAAGTGTGTGCGCATAGTCTGGACAACAAGCTAGCGTGCTACGGTTTTAGGGTTGTCTGTCCTGCATGGTCCCGGTTCGTAAACAAGCAGCAAGAGTGTTTTCCCAAGGGAAAGCGGACAAAAAGGAGTCGCGGCTCCCAGTGCAAATTCCGTCTCCCTTTGTACACAACACTGCCATTCTTTTTTTTTAAATGTGCTGCCTCTGGTCAGCGTGGAAGGCACACACATGCACAGCTTTCAGGACCTGTAATATAGCTTGGCAAAAGCCGAGGCACCATTGCGATCGCCGTCGCCAATAGGTCTTTGCGCCCCCTCCCCACCCCCTCATCACCTTTTTGTAGTTTTGTACGCGACAAGCGGATTTTGCAGCAGCAGCAGCCGAAGCTCACTCGACCCTAGCCCAGCTCCCCAAAGGCATTATTATTATTGTCCATGATCTCAGTTCGACGCGTGGCGCATGTATTTATAAGTTTGCGGAAAGACGCAGTGGTGTTCCAATATTTGTTCCCCCATCACCCTTCTTCCCCCCTCCCCCCCTTTTTGCCCACCCCTGCCTCCCGTGTATTTATGTAATGTCTTTGCATTTAAAGACAAAGTTTATGTTTATTAAAAAATCTCAAAAGATTTGGCGGCGGCCTGTGCATTTTTCCCAAAGGTTTGGAGAAATGGTGGATGGCACTGCTACGTGCAGGATTTTTACAGCGATAGCCATTATGGGCTCTTGCCACCAATGGAAATGACATTTATTGTATCCATAGTTGTTGTCGTAGTAGGGTGTACAGTGTCCGTCATCGACGTTGCCAAATCCTTAAAGGATGTACAGTTAAACCCGACTATATCGAACCCGTTTACATCGAGGTATTCCTTATATTGAACAATTTGTGTTCACTGTAATCTTAGTGATAATATATAGCAGAAACAACGGTTACATGAAACAAAATAGCAGCCGCTACCAATATATCGAACTGCCAAGAGCGCCGTTTTGCTCTGCAAACTGGCTTTCCCCCAATGCGAGCGGCTGTATAGGGGGAAAGCCAGCTTGCAGAGCACGCTGGCTTTTTTTTTAATTATTTTATTTCTGCGTCAACCGTTTCGGAGAAAAAAAAACCTCTTGCGGAGGGAACGGGAAGAGGGTACTCGGTGCTCCCTCTCCCCGCTCCGTCCGCAAAAGAGAATATTTTTTTTCTTCCGGGCGGTTGACGCGGCCACCCGGAAGAAAAAAAAGCCAGCTTGCTCTGCTAGCTGGCTTTCCCCCAATGCAGCCGCTCGCATTGTGGGAAAGCCAACTTGCAGAGCAAAAGGGTGCTCTGCAGGAGAAGGTGCCCTTCTCAGACGTGCTCCGTGCTCTCGGCATAGTTCGGTGCTAATGCACAAATATAGAAGCAGCGGCCTCAGCATTTGGAGTTTGTCGATGGCGAAGAAAAATATTGTTATCGCAAATGCAATGAAGAAAAAGCAGCACAAAATTTAAGACTATTTCATTGTGTAATATGTCAGCAGAAAGTGGATTTTTGAGTCAAATTCCTTAAAACTTTTATATTGAATTAGAGTTAAACCTGGATGTAACGAACCTGTATACAACGAAATCCTCTATTTAACAAACTTTTTCAATTCCCCGACGCAATCTTCATAGAAGCGCTTGTATTTGTGAACTCCATCTAACGAAGCGCTCGCACTGGATAACCTTGATTTAACAAACTCGCTCTGCCGTAATCTCCATTTTTTTTTTTTTTTTCGGACTCTGATAATTTGAGTTTGTTCGATATTTCGTACCTAAAGGCGGAACCGTGACTTACCCCATTGAAATGGTGTACATTCACGGCCAATGTTTCGGACAGCTTGAAGTCCGAAAGTTTGATTATTCGGACAAAATTGTCGCGAGCGATCAGTGGAAAACACCATCGAGAAGCGGCCATTTTGAATTCTATGTTGGCTGCCAATGGATTGGCTTGGTTTGGTTTGGCAGCGCTACTTGGGCTTTCTTGAGTCCTACTGCTAGGTGACGCTATGCTAGCCTTTTTTTTTCCCCATTTAGCTGCACGTCATCATCATCGTCATTTTATCATTTTGCATTGTTTTTCATTTCTTTGCGTCGCCAGTCGCCATTTTGCGCTCGTGGTTTTGCACCTCTTATCTCGTTCGCACAACGCTGGCTTGGACGTCATGGCCCTATCTGTTCTTCTGCCGCCGCGATCTGTCATTAAGAAGCGCAGAAAGTACTCGACCATAACGCTAGAAAAGAAGGCTGCGATTCTCAAGCTAACAGAAAGTTGCCGACTGGAAACGGAGGCATAACCTGAACAAAGCGCTATTTACAGCTTTTTTGAGCCCGCTTGGAAGTAATAAAGGCAAGTTTTTTTTCAATCTGCTCATTTTCCTGACGTTTTTTCGGTCCCTGCAAAGTCCGAATAATCGGTCGGTGACTGTACCTGAAATGTAGATATATTCTTGTCCAATTGCCTTTGGTGTCTACCGCGAGGGAGGTCTTGGATGCCATCGATGTATGTCCGGCTCCGACGACAGTGCTCTAAACGCTTTGGTGTCCTTTTAGCGCTGCGTGCTGCCTTCGCTCGCGCGAAAGCCACAACGCAAGCTTACAGACTTCTTTTCCACTAAATAAATGACCTGGTGAGTTTGCCCACGTGGATTTTTAATTTTTGCTTTCTTTCCACATGTCCTTTACGAGTTTTTCCGCGAAAACTGCATGTAACGAAATCCTCCATATAACGAATTATTGCAAACTTTTATCAATTTCGTTATATCCAGGTTTAACTGTACCCGCTATATCGAACTTGTAGAAGTTTTTTTGCTAGTTCGATATAAACGGGTTTGACTGTATGGCAAATTGCGAGGGAATAGTTTCATATGGGAAAAAATCTAGCATCACTAATGTTTAGCAACACTGTTTCCAGAGGCCTACATGCACGGCGCTCTTCACCAGATAGCTTTTAATGCGCACCATGTGTACACTTGATAGTTCTTCCTAGAATGAAGTGATAGTACCGCCAATTGGGCTGATAAACCTGGTGATCCTACAAACCCTTCTATTATCTAGAGTTTCTCTCCCTCGCTGAGCACACGCAACACCGTTTAGAAGACATGGCCGTAGCACTGACATTTTTGCATTATCGGCAAAGGCCATGGCTGGACAAATTGGAAACGAGTGCTGCGTCGGCTGAACATTGACGCAATCGTTGTCCAATCTGTACCCAGCATTGGCCTTCGCTGATGACGACATCTCTATCAGCATTACGGCTTTGTTATCTAGGACGTGTTGGCACAGGTGGTAGTCAAGGCCGATTCACACGACAAACTGATCTGCGAACGGATTGATCACGTGACGACATGTCCGTGGTTTGTCCGTCTCCCAGCGCGTCCATACAAGAGAGTTATCGAGCAGACGCCAGCGAGGACGGACGGAACCTGTTCACCACCCCACAGTGCCGCGAAGCTCCAGCATTGCACCGTGGCACGTTATCCGAGAGAAATCTATGTTTGCTAGCATAATAAAGAATTGTACGCCACTGTTACGTACAAATCGATACAAAACACCGTGATAGGCTTCGCACAAAGCGCCATTAGCTTTACTAACCCAAGGCATGCCAGTGAACAGGCATGGTCCTGGACGAGAAGGCTTCGGCGTAGAACCGACTCGCCAGCCGGACAAAGTTTCCGCAGTTTCTTTCACGTGTGGAACCAAGAATCATGCGACAAAATAAACCAGCAAACGCGCAGAATGATGCGCCATTTTTGTTTTAATCCTCCGAAAAACAAGAAAAAAAATTGTACCGTTGCCAGACTAAACACTTTTCAAGCCAATCTCCCTCCAAACCTCTGTGAGTGAAAAAGGCACTCAACTTTATTAGTCCATGCTTCCGCGGACGAGGCGCGGATCGCAGGAATCGGTGACGTGATGGTCACGTGGTACACGGTCCGCAGACGAATATCGCGACACGGTCCGTCATGTGAACCAGCTATCACAGGGAGGTCACGTGACCTCCCCGTTAACCAGTCGGCGTCAAGCACCTCACTCCTCCTTTGCCGCCCGTCGACCAATCAGTGTCGAGCCTCGAGGCCACGCTTCTATCCAGACTTCACTTCTGGGCTTCACGAAATGCTGAAGACCTAGCCAAGGAATGTTTCACGTTAAAAGATTGCTTGCCCCTCATGGGATTTGATCGTGGCAAGTGAAGCAGGCACGTTGCCACTGAGCTACGCCTCAGATTTGACTAGGGTGCCTCAATTTTCTTCTGTCTAGGGTGATGCCATCCTTTCTAGTACCCAATGCAGACAGCACATGCTCTCTCGAAAAATATAAATACCCGATAACAAAATGCCGCTGTAGCAGTCATTGCCAAGAGCTCGTGCCAGACGTTGCGCTTTCATGCGCTCCGGGACAACAAAAAAACGCATTCGGAGGAAACAGGCCAGATGTTGTAGCCCTAAACAAAGCACACATCAAGGCAAACTAACTTTGACAGTCCTCTCGATATACAACATTTGTGGAACAAAGATGTGCGTACAAGTCTGGTATAGACGCTTTACAGCAGTTGTGCATGGGCGCCGCCATAACTGACCTTCAGTTTTTGTTCCCTCTTATTCCGTTCGCTTCACTTCATCATTACTACCGCAGGACAGGTTATTGCCATTTTAGATGCTACTGTGTTCTTGTGCCCAGCATAGGCCCTTGTGAAGACCCGTCAACTCCGCTTCAGTGGCTTGGCATCTCGGTAAGACAAGAGAAGGGCGGCTATGGTGGCTCAATTTGGCGCGTGTGTAAAGCGTCTATAGTGCCCGCTAAACACCCACACTTCCTGCGATGTTGCGGCTGAAAATTCTTCGTTATTCTCGTTATCGTAATTCGAAATTCAATCGGAGTTAATTATTTAAATAAAAAAAAACAGCTGGGTGGCACAAGCCACCGCCCGGTCAAAGGGTTCAGCTGTATCGATCCATCCAATACCACTTAGAAGACAGGCCTGTGCATTCAGTCGCCATTAGTGGATTCCCGAGCCGCGACAAACGTGCTGAAGCTTGACGAAAGTACTATTATGCAAAACGACAGACGCGTGCGTCTTGGCATTGCTGCGTGCTGGCGTTGCACTTGTGAAACACTAACAGACGCGCCGGTCTTTCAACGCGTCATCAGCGCCGTTTGTTGCTGGTAGAAGAGTGAAGTGCGCGCTCGCGAGAGCCCCGAGACTTTGCCGCAACGTGTCGTAGCCATCGCTGCCAATGTACTGTGGATTATTCCAGGACTGCTAATTTTTTTACGTTTTCTTTGCAAAATAGTTGCGCACTTAGAAACAAGAAATTCTCAGAAGGCTAGTGCCACGTCAGCTCTTCCTTATTAAAGCACATACAGTGCGTGCAGGTTTTCTGCTAACTTTCAACTCCGACCGACATTATGGCCTTGCTTCATTAATTGCTTTTGTGCACAATGCAAGTCGCTCATGAAGCATTTTAAAGACTGACGTACGCTTCACGCTTTCCACTTTTGCCCGCCTCCTCCTTTCCTGTACCTTCTCCACTTTTTTTACCTAGCCCCAAACTTGACCCTTCTTCCAGCTTAAAGGGGGAGTGCTAAGAGGATAATCTCCCTTGGAGAAAACCGAGGTTGTACGTCGGCCTTTATGCTTGTTTTAATATACGACAGTTCTTTTACTTTTGGGAAAAAAAGGCAGTACCATAGCCTCCCCTACACTGACACAGCCTGGCAGATCATCACACGACGCGGCTGCCGAAAGTGAAAAGGTACGAGTGGCAGACGACTCGTGTAATGGGCGCCCCGCTGCAACGAAACACCGAAACACACTTGTCCCATGCGATGGAATGTCCGCTCGTGCTTCTCGCGTTCCTCGGGGTACCGCTTCCTTTCTCGTCGGGTCCTCGCCGCTGCAAAAGCTCTGCGCTGAATACCGGACTCCCCGAGAAATGCTCTGTGCTACCAGATCCTCGCGCTCCAAATCTGCGACCAGGCACTCCATGGCTCCGTCATCGAATTGCCAGGCTTTGTGAGTATAGACGGGGCTATGGCAGTACATATTTGCTTCCTCACTCTTATAGTTAAGCACATGTGAGAAGTTTCCTTGTGCCCAGTGTAACTTGAACCACCTTTCCACACTTCAACCATACAGTGAAACCCGTTTAGAACGAACCCACATACAGCGAATTATTGTCGATATCGAACTCGCAGAAATTATAAATAAAAATGCATGTAGAAAGTAATTCTTATAACGAACAACAAATTGGCTATATCAAACTTTTTCTCCACGGGAAGCTTTCCAAAAACGCGGAAACAGTCGTCTTCTGGCCTGTCCTCCCCCCCCCCCCCCCCCCCCCCCCCCCCCCCCCATGAAAGAAGTAGGAAAGGAAAATTCCAAAAGCTCAAGTTGCGAACATAATTGAGTGAAGAGAAGCGATTCAGAAGGGGAGAAAGCTAAAACATACACTGCATGGATGCACAAAAAAAAACAAAAAAACCTTTTTATCCCAAAAAGGTTGCCCACGAAGAGAAGCAATTCAGAAGAAAAGATAAGCTTAAAAAAAACTGCACGCATGCAAAAAAAGAAAAATATATATCTTTCCAGCGCGTTGCTACAAGGCGGAAGCAAAGAGATAAGAAAGAAAGAGAAGCTCTCGCTCTTCAACGAACGCATCATGGAAGTTCGTTGTAAATGTTTTTTTTGCTATATCGAATTACTTGCTATATCGAACTGATCGTAGTGTTTCCTGCTGTTCGTTATAAACAAGTTTGACTGTACTTTCGAAGCACTTCTACACAGTGATGTCTTTTCGGCGTACAAATGCCGACATTGAGAACATATTTTTAGAGGTGACTCAAGGAGGATCCAGCAATGGAAGCAGAGCTTAGAAGTTGCAAGAAGGTTACAAGCAACCTTCTAAAGGTTCTCGGGATAGCAAGATCAGCTTTTTTTTCTTACTCTGCGTCTGTGACAGATGCTCTTGTAGTGCTATGTTGCTTGCCATAAATTTGTTTTCATTTGGGAAGTGAGAATTCGCTCGCTTGGAAGGTTATTACCAGTTATTGAGCACTGCGTGCTTTTACTGATGAGCTCACTGCACAACCCAGGCAGGGGCGGATCCAAGGGGGGGGGGGGGGGGGCAGCCACCCCTAGGATCCGCCGAAATCCAAGGGGCGGCCGCCCCCGTCGGCTGCTCCTTGGATTTCGACGGCCAGGTTCCATTTCACATACCCTTCCTCAAACGGAATGTGAAAAGTCGACCCCCCCCCTTCCCCCTTCTCGGGGAGCAATTTGACATGGATGGACCCCCCAAAATAAAACCGACTGCCGTTGTGCCAGGTGGTAGAAGGCTCGGCACTCAAGGACGAGGGTTCAAAATAGGGTAGGTCGCACCGTAGCAGGCACACTTGTACTCTGAACATAGGAAAGCACTCCGTCGCTTCAACCGAGACTGAAGTCTGTGGAGGCAGTTTCAAAGCACAGCTTGGAGCCAATAAGTCGGCGTAGCGGAGCACATCTAGGGGCCGTCGGCGCAGTGTGGTTCTGCGGCGGCTAAAACAAAAGGTGAACCGGAGTCCTGTTTATGCTAATTTAGATCCCCCCTCAAAGCAGAGTTCTGGATCCGCCTTTGAACCCAGGTGGTAGATGTTTGAGGAACGGTATGTGAAATGGAACCTGGCCGCCGGAAATTCTTCTCGACCCTTCTCGCACTCATGTAATCAACTCATTGGTATGTCGCAAAGTCTTTTGTGCAATGCAGATTGTCCAGCTTTTTTAATGCAGAATACAGTATAGACCACTTACAACGTAACCGCTTATAGTGCAGGACCGGGTATAATGCGGCTTTTTTAAACCACCGGTTCGCCTCCCATAGAACTCCATGTAATTACATACCGCTTAAAATGCAGGCGCGCGAAGGGAAATACCGGTTATAGAGCGGTTTCTGGAATAGCGCGCCAAGCGCGCCGATTGCACCGATTGACCGGCGCAGCCAGCACGCTTCCCTGTGCGACACTAGATAACGGCGCTAGCCTGGCTAGCCGCAAGCGGCACTCGCGGGGCAAGGAGGCTGCTCGAAGTCGTGGCTCCAAGAAGTGGAGAGAAGCGAAGAGAGAGGCTTCAGTTGCCATACCGACGGAGGGACGCACGCACGTGTCGTTCACGTGCGTGCGTCTCTCCGCTGTGTTGGCGTTGGAAACAACCGCAACGACAGACCAATCGCAGGTCGAGGAGAAGTGTTAGAGCGCATTGCATGCCGGTCGTGGGCCGGCTTCTATCCGCAAACATGGCGTCGGTTCCGATCGTTCCGCGTAAAAGCGCTATCCTTGACTGAATTTTCTATGTGTGTCGCTATGATAACCCAGCACGTACTAGAAGGGAAGATCCACCTACTCGTGCGGCGATGTCGTGGCGGCACTCTCAAGACGGCAGAAACGCCCGTGTCGTCGTGTTTGTTTACTTCGACTACAGTGGTGCTTTCTAAGCATTTGTGTTTTCGAACATCGCCCGGATATCTTATCTGGAGCATTTCACGCCTGTGCTAAAGTTGAAGGTATTACTGGCGCGTACTGTATAAAGGATGCGAATTTTCATGCGTCTTCATCACCGGAGAAAGGTGATTAGGGTTAGCAACCCTGAACGCTCGCAACGTCCGTCTGCAACCAGCGACGCCATTAAAAGGCTGCGCCAGGCAAAAGTCGCTCATTTCTTTCAAAATTGACACACTTAAAAGAGAAGTGTACTAGTCTGGTAAAATAAAGACTCCTCTTCGTCTAACATAAAATAAATTGTTTTATAAAGGTAAGTTGTCTCATGGCATGTGGTTTGGCCTGAAAAACTGATGTTTTGGTTATAACGCGGTACCGCTTGTAGTGCGGATTTTCGCGACTCCTGCAACATACGTTATATGCGGTCTACACTGTAGACCCTTTCCGAAATTCAGTTTGGCCACTTCAACAACAATCGTCATCCAAGTATATATCATCTGTACAAGCTAATGGTGACCTTTTAATGGCTGGTGAACAAAGAATTTGAAGACGAGCTCCGATGCGGAGCCTAAACATTCCAGATGTTGGTTCGCCGTATTGTTGTTAGTTATCGTCTTGATGAGACCTGTAAGCTTCTATGCACCATGCGTTTGAGAGAGCAATGTAAATCCTTGGATTGCTCAGTTTCAGCACACCCAGAGTTTTACCCAACTAAGTGCCTCATACAGAGTGGTACACACCATTGAAACTGAAAACAAATGGAGAAACAATTGTACAGCAAAGAAAACCATAACTTTTGCATGTCTGCCACTGATGATTACCGTAGAACAGGGGTTCTCAAACTGGGTTCCACGAGTTGGTCTCATGGGTTCCGCGAACACCCAAATTGCAACCCCCCCTCCCCCCTCGCCACAGGCTGCGCGGAAGCACCATGCAAAGCTCCTTTATCTCACTTTCGCGATTGATATGGTGGGAATATATAGGAAGCAACACGAGCAAAATTGCCTACAATTGTGCATCTGTTTTATCTCAGCCGGCAAATATGGAGGGTTCCGCGGCAGTTTTCGAGGCTTCCTGGGGATCCATGCAAGCAAAAACTGACTCCTGTACCATGCTTGGGGGATATGAAGTGGTTATTCTGAGCACTAGTAGCCAAAGTGAAACAAACGTTTCATGGTCTTTTTAAAGAGGTTTCACTTGATAGGACAACAAGGTCTCTAGCAGGTACCTTTCATGCCCTTGTGGCAGAAGTGTAAAGAACAGTTTTACGGTGGCATAAACACTGTTCATGCGATATATAATGAAGAGTTGAGTGGCACATCATTAACCAGACATATGAGCTTAGATACCAACCATATTTATTTCAGGGGATTTGGTGCTTTTACAGCAAAGACAAGGAGATTATGAGGCAAGGCAATGTACAAAGCTTACAGCAAAAGTACAAACAAAGAAGGCAGCTTTTTACGGCTCCGGGAAGACTCACTGACAGCACGCGTTCACACTTTCAGCATTTCCTCGCATGCTTTCCAGCCATTGAATTGTGTGGCATGCTTTCTTGCACCAGCGATTATTCAGCTTTTACTACAGACTAGCTGCACAAGCTACAGCCAATGTCTACCATGCCATGGGACTGCGTTATTCACAGGCTATACACATCCTTTCAGGTGAGCAAATATGAGCATAATTTACCAGTTACTGCAGAGCACTTGCAGAAGCATCACTATGCAATAGTACATAATCGGCTACACTTTGACAGAAATCGTTTGTGCTGGTGACAGGTCTGCTGGGCCGACTGGTGACATCCAATTTCTTTCAGTCTTCCATTGTACATAATGTATAAATAGTCCACCACCTAACAGTGTGGCATAGTTTAGTCAAGCATGCATTCTAGCTTACCAGCTTATTTTATATGCTTATAGAGCATATAAAATATCATGAATGCATCTGTTTACACAAATATAGTACTGATGTTGAACTAAGAAGAGCACCTAAATACTGTTTTAAAAATAATGCTAGTTCACCCAACCTGTTTATCCAACCAGTTTTCCATGAATAGTAGGCAACTTTCGAAAATTAAGTAGAGCTAGTTCACAGAATTTTAACCTGCTCTGGTCATGGGAGCTGCTAAGCGAAATCTTCTGGGCAGCTGAGTGAAGTGGAAGGATGAATTGCTAAGCCCAAATGCCCAAGAGGTAGTTCAAGTCGCTGCCCAGCAATATTCAGCCGTTAGACCCATTTTAAAGCTATAATGTGCTTGATTTGACTATATTCTAGCCACTGAGCAACAAAAGCTGTGAAAATGCAAATACGAGCTAGTAACTGAGGAAAAGGTTTCTAGAAAGCGTGTGTATCTATTTTATATTTTAGAAAGTCTAAAAATTATAGACATTCATAGATCTCTGTAAAGCGAAATTAGAGCGCAGCTCTTGAGGGGGAAGAGGGGAGGGCATGGAGGGAAGGGTATTCCGTTCCTCCTCCTGCTCCTTTCCTGCTTCTCTCCCCCTCCTCCTCCCCTACTCCTCCTCTCCCCTTCTCCCTACTTCCTCCTCCTCCGCACATGTCAATTTTCCCGCTAAATTTAGCGGAGACTCTGAATTTGTTCATAGCTAGGTGACGTGACACCAAGTCGTGTGATGTCATTTTCCACGTTACATTTAGCATGGAAACTGAATTGGTGTTGAGGTCACGTGACGTCAATTTTCCCGCTAAATTTAGCGGGGAATTGAAGTGCTGTTGAAGTCGCGTGACCACAATTTTCCCGCTAAATCTAGTGGAGAAACTGAATTTGTTCGTAGGTGACGTGACACCAAGTCATGTGACGTCATTTTCCACGTTGCATTTAGCATGGAAACTGAATTGATGTTGAGGTCACGTGACGTCAATTTTCCCGCTAAATTTAGCAGGGAATTGAAGTGCTGTTGAAATCACACGACGTCAATTTTCCCGCTAAATCTAGCAGAGAAACTGAATTTGTCCGTAGGTGATGTGACACCAAGTCATGTGACATTATTTTCCTCACTAAATTTTGCGGGGAAACTAAATTGGTGTTGTGATCACATGACACCAATTTTCATGGTAAATTTAGCGCGGTTACGTTGACGCAGCGCCGGTGCCGCCGCTCAACCCGGAAACGGGAGCCTAAGAGCTGCGCTGTAAAAAGTAGGTGCTTGAGTTACACTTTCTCTAGAACGCTGCAAGTAGACCAGTCTATTAAAATAGGCCAAGTGCATCCATGAAGCCGGAAAGTTTGTACCATATTTTCCGGCCTCTAAGACGCATTCCCCTATAAACAGCTGTTTTCACAAAGAATTGGTATGCAGGTTGCACCCTTGTACATGCTGCACTTGTATATTTGTACGGCAGGCGAGGCAGAACTGTACTGGAAGGCCTACATACGTATAATGTGATCGCGATATACGCACAAGCAGGAACCAGTTTGAATATTCTCGAAAATTCAGAGAACACAAAATATAAACCCAGCGGCAAATTTGTGTAGTTAAGGTCCATACTTATAGAAAAAAAACACTTGTAAGCCGCAATAAAAGACACCAATGGAAATTAAAAAAAAAAAAAAAGTGCCTTGGAAAGTATGGCAACTTTTTTTTTTTCTTTTATTAGTACATACTACATTTCTTCTCAGGTCTGAGATTCATATTGGGAAGCAAGACTGCACTAGCACAAGAGTGAAAGCGAGTGGTTGAGAATAATAAATAGGTAAAGAAATGTTAGGATGGAAGTATACATTAAAGAAATATGTTATCAGAACTGAGTCACAGAAGCAGTTATACTATCAATGCTACAGCTTTTTAGCAGCGTTATTATGCGAGGAACTCTAGAAGGAGACGCAAGTTTTGAACACGACTGTTGAAGCTGCAAACGATACCCGGGGGACGAGTCAGAAGCCGAGCGTTTCGTAGGCGCCTACAGTCTAAGAAATGCGGACGGCGGCTCATTTCTTTCACACTGCTTGCTGCACGATTCGGTCCTTGTCCCTTTCGTCGGCTAATGCCACATTCTCATTGGCTGCGGAGTGACAATAGGATGATTATTCGCCACGTTCTGCATTTCTTATCCCGTCGGTGACCACAACCACGACCCTTAGATAAACTAGTTACTGGTCTGGAAGCTTCAGTGGTTTTTGCCCTAGCAAGTTTTATCACCGCAAGCGGCGCTAATCCGAATAGAAGTTTAAAAAAGAAAATAAGTAAAAAAAAATCTTGATTACTTTTTTTGTTAAGACAAGATGTACCGCCCTTTACATGACATTTCGATTATTCCGAAATAATATGATCCCTAGGTCTCGAGTATAGACAGCGTTTCCAACCGTCCATCTTTTTGACGGATCCGTGGGGTCTCGCGAAAGAGTGGACACATCCAGCGACTCTCTCCACACCGGCTTCTCCAAACCCCAATCAGCCGTTAGGTTTTCCGAGCAATCCGATTGGTCGACTCCCAGCGCCGTCGACGCACGTACCCCAACCCTTTAATTTTTCCATGTGAAAAACTTCCCCACGGCGCGACGAAAAGGTTCCAGAGCGGGTGATCCAAGGACGGTGCTATAACTCGTCGCAGAAAGGAAATGCAAACGTCGTCGACAGACCTCAAAGCATCGTCCAAGCGACGAACCGGGTTTCGGCCCGATCGGTCGGGCGACGTCGGTTGTCCGCGGTTTAACCACGGAGCAACGCTTAAATGCGGTTGGCAACGTCCGACGGGTCACGCAGAGAGTTGCCGGTCTGTCGTCGCTTTCCAGAGCGACAGCGACGGCTGCTGCGCCTGGCCCACTTCGCACAGCTGGGGCCCCTGTTGAAGCGAGGCGTCGGCTGCCAGACCCGCTTCCCGCAGCACCTGAGGCGAGACGCCGAGCGAACTGCGGTTAAACACGAATAGGGTACGAGGCGGATTATCCGACCTTGACTTCGGAAAAGTATTAAGACGGTAGAAGAGGAAATTTCAAATGGTGAGTGCGCTCCACCTATCGCAACTGGCGGAATTAGAACAGCAGAGAAGTCCTTTGGTCGTCCCAGCTCCGGTGCAAGCTTCTTTCCTTCAACAATGCCTTGGAATTTCGCAGGCCTCGGTCAAGCGTGCATACATAACCGTAGCGTGGAAAAAGGGGGCTACGCTTCGGCGACACTTCGGCCATGTTGGTGTTCATCAAGCAGGAAATGGTTTTTCTCTTTAAAAATCTTAAAGCAGTGTGCGACAAAGCAACGCTATATCATCCAAGCTTCCTACGCCGTATCTAAAGTTCAGGAGGTCACACTTTTTTATCGTAGCCATTGCCGATAGTGTGCGCTTTGTCCTAAGGAATGGAATGGTGGCATCCAGAAAATCGGGGAATGAAATGCCCACACTGTAAGTGTAGCTCATTTGATGGATCTAGGTTGAGCTATCTAGTCGACGGCAGTGTAGGTACGCAGCCCTCGTCTTTCACTGCTGCTACTGCCGTTGCCTTCATTATCTGGGCAGCACGAGCTGCGACCCAATGCATGCGCTCATTAACTTGCGAATCAACTTTTTTTTTTTTACTAATATTAGCGGTTGTTGGCATACGTGCAAACTGCACGCAGATGCAAGCTCGCAATCGTCGTTAGACAAAGCGAAAATTGTTTTCTGCGTGAATTGGAAAAATTAGGAGCGATAACTTTTCATCTCTTTCCTTGCCATGCCCATAGCCACTAATCACATAGGACCAATATAATTTCTGTGCGCTGCCAAAATTTGAAGTTGGTACTTTGCAATATGTGCCATGTCGTGACTGACGGAACAACTATAGTTTCAGTTTCAATGTAGTTTTGCATTTACGTAAAAGGAGGGGGGGCAATCAGAAACAACCTATGGCACAGCGATAGCAGCTTTCAAACATGGCACCCTGCTCGCATCTGGCACTGCAACAAAAACTGCACGAATTTAGCTCTCTTACTTCATTTACTGCTTATTTATTGGATGACAGTAGTAGAGAGGACTGTGGATGATGTTGGATCATCTGATGTTAGCTCCGCCAGCGACACTTCATGTACATCACAGCGACTCATAAGCCCGGAACACTGACAGCTGCTCATCAGCGAGCATCATTCTAACTTCCCAGGCTGTCCTGGGCTGGGCGCACATTCCACACACAACGTGAGTCAAGAAAATTTAGACGAGAAACTACAAGCAGCACTATGGCAAAGCCGAGGTTTGGCAGAAAAGAATCGTGTTTTGCAGGATATGTACCGAGTAGCACTTGTGTTTCACTGCGGTGTGCAAACCGTTTCTCATAGTGGCACAACTGCCACAAAACCTAGCTTGCCAAGCAACAAAAAAAACAACTAAAAACATTTCACAGTTTTTGAACATGCCACTTCATAGCATATCTAAAAGCGACACCAGGGGACAGGTGAAATATGCACACACTGCATGTTTCGGTCAAGCTCCCTGAAAATGCTATCACTGTCTCAGGCTCCCAGGGAGTGCTCAATGACCCTGTTTGGCACTTGCCCAACCTGCGGTCACCTGTATGTGTGTCTCGGCGTGTGCCAGGTACTCGTCGATCCAGCCGGGGCTGCTGGGCAGGCCGCACAGGGTCCGCATCACCAGTGTCAGGTGCACCACCGACAAAACCAGGGCCGTGCAACTGGAGGGAACGGGGAACACAAGAGGCATCCACAACATGCAAGGCCACGAGAAAAGTCATATGGCCTTGATGCCACAGGCAGCGAGCCCAAAATGGAAATGACGGAATTGCTAGGGTGCAACGTCACATTTTCATCTTTAGTTTTAATGACAGGAACAGTTTCAAAGTGTTCTGAACAGCGAGACTGTACAAATGTTCAAAACTATGAGACTGAAATAGTAGAAAATGATCAGACTGTACAAACATACAAAACTGTGCGACTGGAAATGTAAAAATTTGATTGATTGATTGATTAGGGTTTTATGGTGCAAAAGCATCTTAGGCTATGATGCGCCAGATACAGACTATTGCAGAGAATGTTTCAGAGGAGAAAGAGCTTTAGTAGCTGTGGTGGATTAAAACTATGTATATGACTTGTAAATAGTGATGGAGATGAAGTTGAATATAAAATTATAGCCGGTGTAAAAGACCGATAGCTCTCAAAAAGTTAAAAACACAACTGTGTGGTACAAGTGGGTCGTTGCCAAGTAGAATACTAAGGTGTAAAGGCGTATGCTCGTTATATAATTGAGAAAAATGTTTTCGACGTTCTTGGTCATACGCTGGGCATTCAAGTAAAATGTGTAAAACTGTTAGAGGACTAAAACAGTTCTCACACTCTGGGGCCTCTTCCCTGCGCAGGAGGTGGCCATGAGTAAGGTGTGTATGACCTATCCTCAGTCGACACAAGACAACCTCATAGAAACGTTCACAGTGTCGAGCACTCTCCCACTCACTGATCAATGGTTTTACAGAATGGAGCTTGTTATTAACTTCTTCATCCCATTCTTGCTGCCACTTCCTTCTAATAGAATGCTTTAAAAGTGTGCTATAGTCTTTGTATGGAATGTCATGCAGGTCCACTTCTTGCTCACCAGCAGAACTTGCAGCAAGGTCTGCTTCTTCATTTCCGGGTATACCAACATGGCTAGGAACCCAACATAAAATTATTTTAATATTCCTTTTTGAAGCATCAATAATTTTATTCTGTAACTCCATGATTATTGGGTTTTTCGAAGTCTTTAATGATGAGAGTGAGCGCAGAGAACTCAGTGAATCAGTGTACACGACTGACTGCTTGCTTTTTGTTTTTACAATATGATCAACTGCAAGACGGAGACCGCATAACTCTGCTGTTAAAATAGTGGCTGTACACGCAATCCGTTTTACACAGCGAACAGAGGGGCCGACCATAGCACATCCAACAAACGATTCTGTCTTAGTACCATCCGTGTAGTATGAGTTGTGTCCAGAATATCTATTCTGAAGCTCAAAAAATTCCTGTTTTATGTATTCTGGTGGAGTTTCTTTCTTTTTAATTTTTGTTAGTGAAAGGTCACAGGAAATGAGGCAGTGGTCCCACGGAGCTATAGTTTGTGGAACAGGAGTGACGGGCATTGTACTACTCAGTCCAATTTAATCTGCTTTGGATGCATTTCTCAAACTAAAAGGTGGTATTACAGTGGGCTTGTTGTCAAAAGCATGTTTATATCTCATTTCTTCAACAGCTTCTCGAGAAGGGTGCAAGGGAACTGAACGAATTCTAAGCGAATACATAAACCCTAAAGCAAACCTTCGCTTCTCCAGAGACCATTCATTTGAGTCTGCGTAAAGGCTGGGGATAGGCGACGTGCGAAATGCACCTGTAGACAGCCGCAGTCCCTGGTGATGAATAGGGTCAAGCATTCGTAGGGCTGAAGGCCTTGCCGATCCATACACACTACTACCATAATCAAGGCGCGAGTGAATCACCGATCTGTAAATTCGGAGGAGGCAGAGGCAATCAGAGCCCCAGGAGGTGTGGGAAAGCACCTTAAGGATCCTTAGTGCTTTTTGGCATTTTACTTTGAGATACCTGATATGCAAAAGAAAAGTCAATTTACTGTCAAAAATAAGCCCTAGGAATTTATGTTCAGGTTTTGTTGGAATTGAAGCGGATCGCATGGTCAACGAGGGCTTCACTGAAGTTCCCCGTAGGCGAGAAAAACAAACAGACACTGTTTTTTCAGGTGAAAAGCTGAAGCCGTTCTGGTCTGCCCACTTGAGCAAATTGTTAATTGCTAGTTGGACCCTACGTTCGCACAAAGCAAGGTTGCAGGATGAGACGGATATCTGAAGGTCGTCAACATAGAGTGAATACTGTACAGATGGTGGAATGGCCCGAGCTATTGAGTTCATTTTAACTATAAAAAGGGTCACACTCAAAACGCCTTCCTGAGGAACGCCATTTTCCTGGCAGAACTCTCTTGAGTAAGTAGTGCCCAATTTAACACGGAAGGTACGCATCCCCAGATAGCTCTTGACGAATGCTAGCATTCCACCACGAATGCCAAAACTATACAGGTCTTGCAGGATGCCATGACGCCATGCCGTGTCGTACGCTTTTTCCAAGTCGAAGAAAACAGACAGGCAGTACTGCTTATTTACAAAAACCTCACGAATAGTAGTCTCCAGACGAACTAAATGATCCATTGTAGACCGTGACGAATGAAACCCACACTGGTATTTGTCAAGGATATTTTCTTTTTCCAAAAAATACATGAGTCGTTTGTTAAGCATTCTCTCCAGAGTCTTACTAAGACAGCTTGTTAGCGCTATTGGGCGATAACTGGTTGCGAATGATGCATCTTTTCCAGACTTTAGCAAAGGGATAACAGTGGCCACTCTCCTTGAGAATGGAAATGTGCTCTCGTGCCAAATGCGATTAAACAAATACAGGACTATGCCAAGTGTAGAGGGGTGGAGATGTGTAAGCATGTAATAATGAATTCCATCTGGTCCGGCAGCCGTAGGTTTGACTTCATGCAGCACCCGCTCTAGCTCACTCAGCGTAAGGTGCGAGTTGTAAGCTTCTCGAGCACCACCGGATGTTCAAACAGACTGCCGCTCTGCCTGAGTCTTGTGTTTCAAAAAAGCAGCTGAAGAGTGCTCGGAACTAGAAACATGTTGAAAGTGTTCCCCAAGGAGATCTGCCTGCTGTTCAAGGCTCTCGGGGCAAAGTCCATTTGCAGAAAAAAGCGGTACTGAAAAAGCACGGTAGTTCCCATTGACTTTATGAATTTTGTCCCACACTTCTTTGCTAGTGGCAGTGCTGTTAATTGAGGATGCATATCCTTGGAAACCTTTACGTTTAGACTGGCGGCGTATGTACCTCGCACGAGCCTTCATTTGTTTAAATTTTATTAGGTTAGTTTGCGTTGACTAACGTCTGAAAATCCCCCAGGCTCTGTTTTGCTTTCTTTTCGATTTTTCACAGTCGGCATTCCACCATGGTTTAGGGCGACGGGGTAGGTGAGACGAAGTCAAGGGGATAGCTATCATTGCAGCATGAAGAATGTGACTACTAAGCAGACTGGTGATTTGATTGACAGACAGATTGTCAAATGATGTGCATGCGAGCTGAGTGGCCTCACTAAAAGTACCCCAGTTTGCCTCTTCGAACTTCCAACGGGGTGTTCGTGTGGATAGTGTAGCGGGTGGATTGATGCGGTTTAAAATTATGGGAAAATGGTCGCTTCCATATGGGTTGGGATCAACAGCCCATGAAAAAAGGGGGAATAATGTTGGGTCACTTAGTGACAGATCAATGGATGTGAACGAACGAGTTGGAGCGCTGAAATATGTAGGCTCTAGTTTGTTTAACAGGCATAAAGCAGTAGAAGAAAGAAAACACTCAATCATCGAGCCACGTGTGTCACGTCGTCCACTGCCCCACATAGGGTTATGAGCATTGAAATCTCCTAGGATTAGAGCTGGTTGGGGGAGTTCGTCATAAAGAGATTCTAGCTCTCTGCGAGATAAGGTGTAGCTTGGAGGAATATACACAGAACAAACAGTTATCAGTCGATCAGATAAGATGCGAACTGCCACAGCCTCTAATGTGGTATTAAGTGGTACCTCAACACAAGGGGTAGACCTTGCAACAATTATAGCTACACCGCCAGAGGTGTGGGATGAATGGAGACGGTCCCTACGAAAAACCTGGAAGCGTATTAGGATGTAAGTATGATTATTGTTCAAATGAGTCTCCTGAAGGCAAAATGCTAGTGGGTGATGAAGATCTAGTAGAGAGTAAATGTCGTCATAGTTACGGAGTAAGCCTCTGCAGTTCCACTGGAGAACTGTTTCTGCCATCTCACAAACAGGAAAAAAAAATATATATATATATATATATATATCTTAAGAGTATATGTTTCACTAGACCTTAAAATCTATTTTGACGCGGGGAGCATTTTTCTTTTTAGCCGTATCTTTTGGCCTGCCGGTGGTACCACCGGAGGCCGAAAGTAGGGACTCTGAACTTGAGTGGAGTCTGTCCTCGTCGGACTTCGACCCACTCTCGTCCATTGGTTCACCGGGGGTTGCCGTAGGCTGATCCTTTCGGGCCTGCGACCCCGACGGCTCACCGAGTTTCCGGGCGCCTTCAGAGGTGCGAGGGGGAATTCCCCGACCTCGAGGCAGCTGGGTTTTAGCGGGCGCAGGGGGTCCACACCTCTGCGCTTGGGTGGACCATGGCGGACCAGGATCCTCCCTTTGGTTAGTGAGGGAAGTGGCTTGTACCACTCCAGGTAAGGTTGAAGGGGACTTGGGGAGGACACACAGGTCGTGCGTCGACGTCTGTGTTCCTGCTGACACCGTTGACCGCGCAGGTCCCCTGCGCGCGGCCTCGGCAAACGAACCTCGAGATAAAAATGAGTGTCGTTTTCTTGCTTCTGTGTAGGAAATATTGTCTTTGACTTTCAGGGAAAGAATTTCTTTCTTTCTTTTCCACACAGGACAGCTGCGAGAGTATGCCGGGTGAGGTCCCTGACAGTTGACACAAATAGTAGTGTTGTTACCACAGTTATCGGTGGGGTGGTCAGTACTTGCACACTTGGCACAGGTAGCCTTTCCCCTGCAAGAGGCTGTTCCGTGTCCAAAGCGTTGGCAACGGAAGCAACGCCTTGGATTTGGGATGTAGG